TGGTTGTTCAGTAGCATGTTGTTTACTCTCCACATATTTGTGAATTTTCATTTTCTTCTTATAATTGATTTCTGGTTTCTCACAAGGGTGGTCAGAACAGTTTTGTATGATTTCAATTTTCTTAAATTTATTGATTTGTTCTGTATCCTGAATTTTATCTATCCTGAAGAACATTCCATATGTATTTGAGAAGAATGTGTATTCTGTTGCTGTTGGATGGAATGTTCTGTATATGTTAGGAAGATTTGGTCTAATGTGCAGTTTAAGTCCAGTGTTTTCTTACTGATTTTCTGTCTGGATGATCTATCCATTGTTGAAAATGGGATATTAAAATCCCATGCTATTATTATATTGCTATTTTTCCCTTCAGATCTGTTAATATTCATTTTATATATGGTGCTCCTATGTTGGGTGCATAAATATTTATAAATGTTATATCTCTTAATGAATTGACCCTTTGTCATTATACAATGACATTCTTTGTCTCTTGTTACAGTCTTTGTTACTTATTTTGTTTGATATAAATATATGTATCCCTGCTTTTTTAGTTTCCCCTTGATGGAATATTTTTTTTCACCCCTTCACTTTCAGTCTGTGTGCCCTGAGGCTGAAGTGAGCTTCGTGTAGGCAGCATATGTTTGAGTCTTAATTTTTATCCATTAAGCAATTCTATGTGTTTTGATTGAAGCATTTAGCCCACTTACTTTTAAAGTAATTATTGATAAGTAGGGGTTACTACTGCTATCTTTCTTCCTCTCTTGCTCTCTTCCTTTGTGTTGATTTTCTGTAGTGGTACCTTTGATTCCTTTCTCACTATCTTTTGTGTATCACTATACATTATTACTTTCTCTTACCATGAGGCTTACACAATATTATATTTCATAAGTCTATTTTTATATTTATAATCTTTATTATATTATTCTATTATAAATAAACATTTTTACATAATATAAAATCCAAGTTCATTTTAAGCTAACTTAATTTCAAATGCATAAAAAAGCTCTAACATGCCTCCACTTGTTTTACTTTTGATGTCACAATTTACATCTTTTTACATTGTGTATCTATTAGCAAATTATTGTAGTATAGTTATTCCTACTACTTTTGCTTTTAACCTTCATATTAGAGTGCTAAGTGATTTACCCACCATGATTACAACATTATAGTATCCTGAATTTAATTATATATTTACTTTTACCAGTGAGTTTTATACTCTCATAAATTTTCATGTAACTAACATCCTTTTGTTTCAATTTGAAGAAAGCTCTTAACATTTATTATAAGGCTGGTGTAGTAATGAATTCTTTCAGCTTCTGTTTGTCTGGGAAATTCTTTCTCCTTCAATTCTGAAGGACTATTTTGCTGGGTAGTTTTTTTATTTTAGCATGTTGAATATATCATACCAGTCTTCTGGCCTGAAGGTTTCTGCTGAAAAATCTACTGACAGTCTTATGAGTTCCCTTGTACTTTAACAAGTTGCATTTCTCTTTCTGCTTTTAAGATTCTCTCAACTTTTGACAGTTTAATTACATGGCTCAATGTGGATCTCTTTGGATTATCTCATTTGAAATTCTCTGAACTTCCTGAATCTGGGTATTTGTTTCCTTCCCTAGATTAGGGAAGTTTTCAGCCATTATTTCAATTTCTGTGGGTAGATTTTCTGCCCCTTTCTCATTGTCTCCTCCTTCTAGGACCCCTAGTATGCAAATCTTGCTCCATTTTATGGCTTCTCATATGTCCCTTAAGCCATCTTCACTCTTTCTCATTCTTTTTTCTTTTTACTCCTGTAAATGAATTCCACTGCCCTATCTTCAGGTTCACTGATCCTTTCTTTCACTTGATCTGGTGTGCAGTTGAGCTCCTCTAATGAATTTTACAGTTTGGTTATTCTATTCTTTAGCTGTGTGTTTTTTGTTTGTCACCTGTTTTATATTTTCTTTCTCTTTGTTGAAAATTTAACTTTGTTCATGCATTTATTCTCCTGACCTTGGTGAGCATTTTTATGACTATTATTTTGAACCCTTTATCAAGTAAGTCACTTATGTCCATTTCATTAAAATCTGTTTCTAGAGATTTTTCTTGTTCTTTTGTTTGAACCATACTCCTGTTTCTTCATTTTTCTTGACTCTCTGTTGGTTTCTGCACATGAGATAAAACAGCAACCTCTCCCAGTCTTGACAGAATGGTTTTGTGTAGGAAATGAACCTCTTCAATCAGCCCAGCCTGAGCCTGCAGTTGTCTCTCAAACCTTTGAGATTGTCCAAGTCGCCTTCTTTGTTCTTAGTGGCTCCCAGTAGTTGAGGGTTTGTCAAAACCCAGCAATGTCCCAAAGTTGAGGATCACAGTCAGCATCTAGATATAGGCTAATTATAAACTGGACCCTCAGGTTCCAGCAGCAAAATTGTGTGGTTGAACCCTTTTCAGGGAGTCCCTGGGAAATGGGTGTTTTTGCCTGCTCCCTCTGTGCTGGGCCTAGGATATAAGCTGTGTATGTATCAGGTGGGAGTGCTCCTGTGCATGTTAAGAGCTTCATTTGCTATAGTACTGTGGAACTTGTGAATGCTTGGTTCTCAGCCAGGCACAATCCAGGGACCCATCCCTTTGACAGTAGCCACAAAAGCTGGGAAACCAGCCATCTGCACAAACTCCTTCCAGGTTGATTATTGGAGTGAACAGGTTTTATTATTAGAGTGGGTTGAAGGGAGAGGGCAGAGAAGGTATTTGCCAGTTTCCCAGTATCTAGGGAGGATAGTAGCCAGCCACTAGATTGTGCTAAACTTAGAAGCCTCATCCTCAGGTAGCAGCTTTAAAAGTATGCAATTAAACCCCTTTCAAGGAGACTGAAAGATGGACTTTTTTGCCTGCTCCCTCTGTGCTGAGCCCTGAGTAGATAGCCAGTTAAGAACTCTTATTTGCTACAGTCCTATGGGACTTGTGAATGCAAGAGACAGTTGACCCTGGGATCCATCCCTTAGGAAGCAGCTGTAAAAATGAGGACATATACATGTACAACCTCCTTCCAGGGGAATACTAATGACTTGGAGCAGGCTGGAGAGCGCAGGTGAGGAAGGTGTCCTTAGATTTTGTCACTTCAAATATTTTGTTTATATAGGGTTTCATCATCCAAAAATATGTGCCTTTTAGTTCCAATGCTGTTAATTAAGCTTAGTTTAAAATGATTTTTTCAAAGCTTGTGAAGTGTCATAAAATACTGGCCAAAAAAAAAAAAACAGAAAAAGTAGCTCATGAATACTTGTTCCCATGCTACCAATTGAGCTGAAGTATAAATAACTGAAACAAAAGACATGGAGGTGATTTCAGTGATCAGAAGCAGTCAAAGCATAGGCATAGGGCTTTTGGCAATGGCCAGGAATGTGGAGTGCACTGCCCACTTGAATCAGAGTTCAGATGCCTGTGATTTCTTTTTTCCATTTTCATCTCTGGACCATACTGCTTTGTTTGCAAGGTCTTCAGTCCTCTGAGCAAGAATTTAATCTCTAGAAAATATTCCATGCCCAAACTCTCTATATATGTGCAATTTATTTAAATGAATGACATGTGTGGTTTTACCTCAGCATTTTCTTATTGGAAATGATAGTAGCATCTGATTTCAGCTGATTAGTTTACAAAATGCTATGATGTTCAGTCTCTCACTAAAAACCCCGTAAATTTTAATCCACATTGTACAAGTATGTAAAAGGCAGTAATAGTATAATGGCTAAGATCCTCATTATTCTTAACTGAAAGTACGTAATACTGATCTTTTGGAGTTTGTATGTTGTATTACTTATATAAAGAGAATGATTAATGTGTCTGTCACATAGTAAGCACTCAAAAAGTGGTTGCTATTGTTGTAATGGTTGAATGTCTTTTTATAAATTATAGCAGTGTTTAATGCAATGCCTCAGTAGTCAAGAATTTGGATCCTTGAGTCCTCTAAAATTCTGTTATTACTCACTTGGTATCCTCTGTATTAAAATGAGAGCGGTCATCCTTCTATTATTCACTTATTTGTAAAATATCTTTTTATCTTCTGTGTGCACTACATTCTTATTCAGTTACAAATTTGAGACTCACAATATTATCAGCTGACTCAAGTTGGTTTCACATTCAATATTACTTTCCTGCTAAGTCTGCTGCTGAAAGGAACTCTTAGTTTCAGGCAAACAATAAATAGCTTTACTGTTTAAATTTCTTAAAAGGATTTGCTCTGCTTAAGTATTCTATGAATGAAATTTGTCAAATATTACACCACAATTTAATGCATAGTTCTTAAGGTAGGCTCAAACATATGTGTAACTTCAGGGGTTCTGGGTTTGTTTTAACATGTAAAGGGTTGGTTTATAGAGGGAGAGAAAATCTGTCTTTCTGGCCATGCTCTTCATGAAGTGACACTACCATGCTCCTCTTCTGAAGATATTGTGGCTTCCTGTGATCCGCAGAATACCTGAGTTCCAGGAGATAGATACAACCAGACATCCTTACAAAGAAATTTTCACGTGCGTCTATTCCCATAGCTTAGTCTAATCGTTCTCAAGTAGACACAGGATTCACCTTAGGAACTTCTTATAAATTCCTTCCTGGAACCCCTCAAAAAAACTGATTCAGTAGGTAGAATGGAACAAAAAATTTGCATTTTAAAAAAACTCTCCCCACTGCTGCTCTATCATGTGATGCTGACATAGGCTGTTCAAACCCCACAATAAGGAACATTGCCTCTAAGATTGGGATAAGGAATAAAAACAAACCCTTCCACTTCTTTGCCCCAGGAAGTAGCTGAAACATTTGAAGGAAACTGAGGCTTCTTGTTAGTAGAATTAGCCTGGGTCCACCACATACCTCTTCCCTGAATGTCATTTACCAACTTCCCATTATTTCCACTAATTTGGAGTTTGCTTCTAGAATATATGTCCACCTGCTGTCATCATGATTTCAAAATAGAATCAGAAAGAATGTTGTTTCCTACTCCTGAAGAACATATTTTTTTTCCCCCTATACAGCTATGAATTTCAGGTAAAATCCAAAAACCCACTTGGAGAAGGCCCAGCCAGCAACACAGTGGCATTCAGTACTGAATCAGGTAATTCCATCAACAGTAACTCCCAGCAAGGACGTAAAGGGCTACAATGTTTTTTGTAGGAGCTTGTTTGAAACTCAGCTAAAAACTACTCTAAAAGGAGTTAGTAAGTCCCGGTGTTCTGGTGGCATAGTGAAGGTAAGTGCTTACAGCTGTTAAATCTTAACTTGCAAAATGGTACACTCCTGCTAATGACTGAATTTGAAATTGTGTATTTCTATCTTACATGTGATTTGAGTAGTTAGGAGTCTGTTGCTCTTCCAACTTTCACTTCCATTTTAAGAGATTTCCTGTTAGTTTCATACAGAAACTATCAATAAAATCATCAAGATGCTATGAACTGCATTAGTTTAAAAATTTTACAAATAATGCTATCAAATACGTACTCTGTTTCCTTTGTCTCCTCAGCGGACCCAAGAGTGAGCGAGCCAATTTATGGTAAGTACCTGTCTGAATGCAGACACAACCACATGCTTATTTAAGTAAACAGTCATGGCAGAATTTTGGTCATAATTTCACTTTAGTCCATTTAGTCTTAGAATATCAGTCAGGTGTGAATACTTAGTTAAAACATTCAGTGACATTGAGAGCCTATGATGTTTCAGGAGCAAGTTGGATTATTTTGAACTTGCCTTCCATCATGCACCGACCAGCTCAAATTTTAATAGTTAAGATATAACACCCTCATTTTTACTTCTAATAACAAGTCACACTAAAGCAGCTGTTAAAATTGTATAATATGCTGCAAAAAAGAAACCTAAAGGAATACTGTCTACACCTAGTGCTGCAGAGGCTATTCAACAGTTAAACACACTGATCTAAGATTTATCTCATTATTGACAGGAACGAGGAACTTAACTGAGGGTTTACATATTTAGACTCTTGTAATACTTTCGGCTCCAATATTTAGCACTGGAGAAAACCAAGTTAATAGCAAGTTAACAATGAGCTTTGCAAAGTGCTTTTTTAAAAGCTTTCAGGAGAGGTCTTCAGTTAAGTCAGATACTTAACTCAAACTGTTTTCCTTATGTAGCAGGAAGAGATGCCATATGGACTGAAAGACCCTTTAATTCAGACTCTTACTCGGAATGTAAGGGCAAACAGTATGTCAAAAGGACGTGGTATAAAAAGTTTGTAGGGGTGCAACTATGCAACTCTCTCAGATACAAGATTTATCTGAGTGACTCCCTCACAGGTAAGCAGGGCTACGAGCTGTTCAGTCTCATCCTTCAGGGAATGCTTTGTAGCCTTCTGTAAGTTGGCCTTTTCTACGGACAATTCCAGACACTAAGGTGTGAATGTAAAACACAAGTTTGTCTTTTCAGCAGGATGTTACTGGAATTCTCAGCCTAGGATTTGAAACATGCTATTAGAAGCTAAATAATGAAAATGTAATTTACAACAGTTCTATCATGGCCAACTTGAATGTAAAGGCACTACCCACATTCCAGCTCATTTTTGTTAGAGCCAAGCAAGGATAGAAAGAAAGCCTACTGATAATAAAATGGGTCTATCATGGAAGGGATATGACATATTTAAGATTGTAAGTTTGCCAGAGACAGGATCAAGATTAAAACACCTGCTGAGAAGGCTATAACCCCTTGCTCTGGACTCAGTGTGTTATCATTCTCTCTTCTACATTCATACAGTAAAAATTTTAAACAAATAAGGCTGGCCCCAACATAGGAAGGGAAACATTTGTTCAATCATTCAGTAAATATCTGCTTTATTCATGCATTGTTCTAGGTGGTGGGGACAAAGCAACGAACAAGATACATTCTTTTCTTACAGCTTAGTCTAGTAGGGCAAGACAAACAAATTTGTAAATAAAAATTTCATAGAGTGCCTTAAAAACTTGAAAGTGTGAGAGGCAATGATGGAATGGAAGCTCCTTCAGATATAATGGTTGGGGAAACCATATATGAAGAGCGAACACTTAGGCTAAGGAAACTGTGAGGAGGAAACAGTGAAGCAAAGATCTATGGAGAAAGCACAAAAAGAGGGAAAAGCAATGCAAAAGCCTGTGACAGAACAAATCCAGCCAGTTCCACTAGCATGGCTGAAGCTCACTCAGTAGGGGCAAGATGAGGCAGGCAGGCATGAAATTATGTGGAGTTCTGAAATCAAGTAAGGACTTTGGGTTTTATTCTGAGTGTAACAGGAGACTACTAGAGATTTACAGAGGGGAGGAACATTACCTGAGTTGTTTTTCTAAAAGATGACCAATCTCTGGGAGGATGGGAGGACAGAGAGAGGCAAAAGTGAAAGGGATGCTAGTTGGGAGACTGGTCCATAGTTCAGTCGAGACACTGGTTGCTTGAACTAGGGGGATAGAGCAAAATAAAAATAAAAGTACAACAGGGGTGACTAGCTATTTGAAATAATTTCATTATTTCAGAATTGTCCTCCAAAGAAAGTTAACACCTTATGATCCTTTTCATTTCTGGTACTTCAGGAAAATTTTATAACATAGGCGATCAGAGAGGCCATGGGGAAGATCACTGCCAGTTTGTGGACTCATTTTTAGATGGGCGCACAGGACAGCAACTTACTTCTGACCAGTTACCCACCAAAGAAGGTATGTTTTCTGAGCTTCCTCATAAGCAAGAGGAATTTAAGTTACAAATTAGCCCAAAAAGAATTCAAGTTGAGGAAAGCAATCACTTTAAAAAGAATTCTGTAGTACTACTGTTCTAATTATCTGGCTAGAAAAAAAAAAAAGACATTCATATAAGACCTTAATATGAAGACTTTTAATAGAAGTTTCTCAACTTTCCTCCCAGTCCTTAAGACTCCATTCCTTAGAGCCAAGAGAAATTACATAGACATATATAAATGCATTCTACTTTAAGAAAACCTGAACTTGCAATGACAGCTATAAAAGAGCAGTGTTTCCCAAATTTAAATCACTCATGTAATTACCTGCTTTTTTTTCACTGAGCAAAGGCAGTTTTGTTAAAATTTTCAAGAAATCCCTATTACTGCCATAAATAGAAAAAGAGCACTGTTTGCCTTATAAATAACTATATAAATAGATTTATATAGGAACAGAACTATTCTGCTGAGAAATGACTGACTACTTGCTGAAGACACATTTACACCAAGCTGCTTAATAAGGATTGAAAAGACTGAAAATTAATCCTAATCCAGGCAGGGCAAGAGAGGGTGTTAAAATATCCACATTATCACTAAAAGGTTTATCAAATATTTAAAACTGTTTTCACCAATGTTTTTTCTTCACTGGTGCTTAAAAAAAACACTGACAGTTAAGAGATAATTTAATATCTGACCTGATAGAGGAAGATAAACTGCTGGGTCATAGGAATTAGATATAAAACATAACATAAATAGTATTTTAACATTTTATATCTGTAGTGAAACTTTTAATCATTTAATGTAGGATCCTTGGAAGATTTCACCTAAGTTTACTTCTTAGAAATCTGGCAACCTTTGAACTAGCCTTCTGTTGTTACCTAACATTGTATGTAGTAAAACAGCACTTTTACTCAAGTAAGTTCAGAGAGCACCACTGGTCTACAATGTGCAAAGTAACTTTCACACACGTCACACAGAAGGTACTGAATGTGGTCATGACACTCTAAAACACCCAAACCCCTCTGACCCCTTTACCTTTACAGCTTTGTCTCTCAGATACTACTAACTATCACGTGCTAACTTGTTAAGGCAGATGTCTAAGTAGTTTCAGGTGCCCCAATGGTTGACCCAGCCAATAGCTCCTCAGGAAAGACACCCGGGCCTCTGTTGCTTATCCATCTTCTAAAATAACTCTGCTTCACGTAGATTTCACTTTAGCCATTCAATGACACCCTTCAATCTGTGAGTAGTGAAGGCAAAAATACAACGTAGCAGATATTAAAATTAAATTATTTTCCTTCTTAGGCTATTTCAGAGCAGTTCGCCAGGAGCCTGTACAATTTGGAGAAATAGGTGGTCATACCCAAATCAATTATGTCCAGTGGTATGAATGTGGGACCACAATTCCTGGAAAATGGTAGAAGCTCAGATCTACCTTCTGTTTCAACATGGAAAAAAAATAATTGGAAACACTATTTGTCACGTTCATTTAAGCTGTTATGTTTACTATGTATAAAAGTTTAAAATCTAATAGCAATATTAGATGTTTATTAGAAAGATTGCTGAGAATATTTATCAGGTTCTACAAAGTCATTTTAAGAAAGCAAGATATTGACATTAACAGAGTTAACATTTTTGGGGAAGCTGGCTCCCTATTCATGGTATTTTAAGAGATCATTTGTATATTATTTATCATACTGTTGTAATGATGTTTTGAGATACTTTTATAACAAAATTAACAACAAAAAAACTAATATACTTTTTTAAAAATTTACTTTTATTGTGTATTCTTCTTACTGGTGAGTTAATTCCATAAATCTCTCCCTGGTTTAACTTATTAGATCAAATTATCTTCAGCATACATATCCGGGGGGTGGTGGGTAAAGGCCCTAACATTCACATTTATTTAAACTTGTTTTTAGCGAAATATTTTATTTGAATCAGTACATTTCATTCAGCTGAAAACAGAACTGATGTATTCAGTTTCAAAATACATATTTTGTTCTTTGTCTACCCATGAATGTGTTACAAGGTCTGAATGTACTTTGTCAAACTATCCCTTTAAGCAATTGTCTTTATATTGTTTTTAATATAATTCTAATCAAGCTGTATGCAGAGACTGAATATGAAGTCTGAGCACAAAAATAATGCATGATGAGATCCTTTCCATTTTACAGGATAGTTACTCTTCTCTCTTTCAAGCCTTCTAGGAATGAATGTATCAGAGGATGTTTTCATAATTCTCAGTCTGTAATGAAAATCAGACTCACTTAAGAAGGTATTATTTTCCTTCATTTGGGAGATAGGAATGCTGGCATTGTTGCCCTCATTCTGGAAGGATCTTTCCTGTTCTTAACTGTCAACATGCTTCAAGTTTATCAATGCTACATTTTGTATTTTTCAAATATAGAAACTCTGCAATAAAGAGATATAGTTTTTTTTTTTAAAAGACTGAGTTATTTCTGAATGGTTCAACCTCTGTAAGAATGATTGATTGATTATTATTCAGGATCTATCAAACCACCCCCCTTGAATCTGTTGTATTTATATATAATGCTAATCCAATTTAAATTTCACTGTTTTAAGCCAATGACTGTTTAACGCACATCTTTCAAAGCTAAAAGACAAAAAAATCAAAAACCGTACCGTGTTTTCCTGAAAACAGTAAATTAAAGCATCTATACTTCATTTTAAGACCAAACATCAATAATGATTTCTTGCTTTTTATTCTCATGAATACATATTAGCTAAATTAAATTACAAGACACCAATGGATTGAATCATCTTTATTAACCCATCATCAATATTACATTTTATACATAACATCTAGTTGTCTTAAAGGGATCTATTTTAGTACATTGTGTTAAGAGTAAAAAGCCAAGTAAGATGGCTAACACTTCAACCTGGCATTTTAATATCCTCTGGACAAGGCAAGCTAGAAAGTTAATCACTTTACACACATGAGTAGTGTTCCAAAATAACTAGGAAGCTGCTACATTTTTAAGCAGGGAAAGAAAAAACTTCCATTTTGGTCTTTATGTTCTGGCAAATTATACTTTCAATTAACAGCAACAATTATATCATAAAAAAATTGTTCTTTTTTTAAATGTCTAAATGTCAATACAAATTAAAAGTGTGGTACTGGAGTCTTTTGGGAGGCAAACAGCTAACAGCTATATTCATCAGTATAACTGAGCCTCTTTATCGATAACCAGGTCCAGGCTGAGTATAGCCCTGACCAAAGGGAGGACGGTTACGTGCGTAAGGGTTAGGGCCGCTTGGAGGAGGGGTCATGGTACTTCCAGGAGGTGGAGTAAAACCTGGTCGCGCTTGGTATGCCCCGGGCTGGCTTGTTGCCATTCCAGGTTGTGAGGCAGGGGCCACAGTGTAATTAGCCGGTTGAGAAGTTTGAGTGGCGTAGGTTTGTGGAGGGTAACTGCTTGCCTGATACTGCTGCGGCACTTGAGCAGGACCAGCAAAGGCAGGAGCCGGGGCCTGGGAGGCTGGTTGCTGGCCATATCCCTGGAACTGCTGAGGCTGTTGGGGTCCAGTCTGCGGACTATAACCTGCTGAGAAGGCAAAACGAATAACATATACATCTTATTTTTCTTTTGGGGAAAGATTTCCCGAGAATTAGTCTTACTGTTATGGACCAAAAATGATGAGACATTTAAACTTATTCTTAAGTGTTATTGTAACAACTAGAATAGTAGAAATATTTCAAAACCAAGTAGTATCAAAGAGGCATTTTCTAAACAATTTTTTAAATCCTCTAATATTAAGTTGAAACCACTATATATATATATATTTCTTCATTACAACTGCTCTACACTACGTAACTCCTAGGAGAATATTCCTATTCTAGCATAACTTCTAGGACAGAGATGTTCAAACCAATGCAGGAATTAATGCAAAAACTAGTCATTAACCTGGTTTTGAGGGGAGGCCTATTTAACAGCACTATCAAATAAAAACACATGTAAGAGAATGATTATTTTTAAATGAAATAATGGTGCTACAAATACATCTTATTGCCCTTAATGAGGTTTATTCACTGTATAAAAACTAAGCCATTTAAGAATAAACATTAAATACCCATTTTCACAATCCTAAAGATATTTTAGGTATTTTTAGATTTGGTACCTGATGTTTTTGCCTTTACAAGTCAAAACTTTGACTTAGCAGTACCGACATAACATAAAAATCATACCATATTGCCCCACAAGATCAATGTCTATATTCATTATTTACTAGGATGTACATTTTTTTAAAAGAAAAAGTCTGCTTCACTAAAAACTTTTATCTCTACCATGAAACACACCTGCAGCTACTTGCAATGAAACCTCTCCATTGACTGGAATCCTGTCAGCATTAAATACCAGATACATAAGAAAATTATTAAAATATGTACAACCCTGCATTTAAAAAAAAAGGATTGAATGAATTTGAGTATATTCTGAACTCACCTTGAACCTGGGTTCAAAATTTACTCATGAAAGAAACCTTTTCGACATAGTCCATGAATAAAACTGGAAAAGGTCAGAGGGAAACTGCCAAACCAACAGTGTCAAAAATGGTCCAATGTTACCACCACCACTTACAGTCTCCAGAGTATTTAGTTGACTATTTCCATATCTCCCAAATTCAAGTTAATAGGACTAATGGGATCAGAAATACAAAGACAGTAACTTGAAAAGAAGTAAATTTTACTCAGAGTGAAAACCTCACTAAAATCATTAAGAACAAGCTTAGCTTTAATAAGTAAATCAAGTACCTAATGCATTTTACTTATGGTAGCATCTGAATTATTTAACTAAAGTCAATTCTTGATAAAATCTTTAATGTCACAGGATGTTTTTCCTTAATTTTTTACTCTGTTTTTGGAGAAACAGAAGGACTCAGCTTTATTCTGAAAATGTCTATTTAAGACTGTGAGGAAAAGCAAAAAGAAAGCTGCCTGTTCAACCTGGCAGCTGAAATCTAAACTGGCTTTTTAACTGAGTCTGGAAAGAACCAGATCCTTAGTAATTTCTCAAGAGAGAGAATAACCCCTAAAGGCCAAAGATACTGCTTCAAAAGTAACCTACTAGTTTTTCATCATAATGCGGCAATGCTTCTAGTAAGTATATAGTCTCCTTCTCACCACCATCCTCTCCCTTGAAACACAAAACAAATGAGTAATTAGGTGAAGAATGAAAATTAGGTGAAGAACACCAGAAATTGCAAGAAATGTAAATTTTGTGGGTTTTTTTAAAATAAATGAGTAGTATAGGATAAGGGGTCATATGGTCCACAAAGCCTAAAGTATTTATTATCTAGCCTTCTCTGTCAGACAAGTCTGCCAAACCCTGTTCTGGGCTGGAGAAGCAGAATGGTATACGGAAGTAATTAACTGCAAGGTCAAGGGCACTGGGTTCTGACCTAGCTCCCCAACTGAATGGCTATGTGTGCCTCAATGCATCACAGCCTCTTAAACCCTAAGGTGCCTCATTTATTAAATGAGAGTGTTGGACAAAATCAATGGTTCCCAATCCTGGCTGGACTTCAGAATGACCTGTAATGCTTTCAAAATATCAATCCCTTTAAAATATCTAAGTGTTTAAAAGTACCCCAGTCCTGACCAAACGAAGCAACATCTCTGGGAATAGGGCCTAGGCACAGTTAGGGTTGAAATCCCCTGGATAGGATGATCACAAAGTCTTTCCCACTAATATCTATTATACCAACTATATTAATCCTAACACTTTGTTTTGATTTTTCTTTATGTTAAAGGACTGCATCCTAAAAATAACCTTCCCCCTAGTATCATAATCCAAGTTTAAATTCATATCACCTATTTTATATAATTAAAAAACAGTACCCACAGTTTAAGTCCCTCTACAAATACAATCCAAATAAAGGCTGCAGTATGTGTTAAAACACATTAAACTACAATTAATGATAGAATTTTATGGTCTAGTTCAGGGCTTGGGGCAAACTTTTATTAAAGGGTCAGATAGTAAATATCCCAGGTTTTGTGGGCCACACTATCTCTGCTGTAACCACTTAATTCTGTCTTTATAGTGCCAAAGCCACGCAGACAGCACATAACTGAATGGGTATTATGTGTTTCAATAAAACTTTATTCACAAAAACAGCCAACAGGCCAGATTTGGCCTGTGGGCTAGTTTGCTGACTTCTGCTCTAGTTGATGTTATAAAACTCCATAAAGTAAAATTTAGGCAAGATTCAACTGTAATAAATTATTTTTAATTACAGTTGAAATTTTATACTTAAACCTTTGGCTATAACATACAAGAGTTGATAACAAATGTAAAATTACCTGAGTTATAATCATTATGTTCAAAGCTACACTAGAAATTTATCGTATTTAAATAGGGATAATCTTGAGTAGACAGATGTTAAAACAAAATACCCAGGGTGCCTATTTAAAACAACTATATTTAATGTTCTTAGTTGCCTGAATTACATTTTACAGAATTCTATTTTTTTGGCCTGTTTCTGGTATTCCTACATGCTTTGGGAGATTAAAAAGAAATCTAAGTAGCTTAAAAATTTGGTTCTTACTAATAAGATCACCTTTCTAGGATTGAGGAAATGTTAATATTTTAACAGGTACCAAAAATACACTAAGATTATTTCTTACATATAATGCGGGAAAAAATCTTGCAGGTTTGCAGTTCTAAGTCACCTGAGACATAAGTCGATCACAAAAGTAGGAGGAGATAGCTTTGTATCAAAACCTTTTTTATACCATAAGTATTATATAATCATCTACTGTGACTGTTTTACTTGCCCACTAGAAAACTAAAATGTTGACTTACAATATTTATGCAGAGTATTTAAAAATAAGTTATTTTCCCCCAATAATAAATACTTAATACCTACTATGACAAACTATTACAATTCACGAAATTAAGAGGAAAAAAATTAACGTTTAATGAGCAGAGAAATGGCTCAGAATCTGTGAGCCAGCTCCCCAACACCTGCTCACCTGAGTACTGAACACCGTACTGCTGGGGCGGCTGCTGGGCGCCATACCCGGCCTGCTGCGCATACTGCTGGTACATCGGGCCTAAAAAAGAAAAGGCAAGGGGAAATGACAGGCTCAACTTGGCAGACAGAAATATTTTTAAGGCACATTTCATTCTCTCCTCATCCAAACACACTGAGTAACAAGACACAAGAATGTGTTTGTTCCCCTTTAAACATCTCAGAATAAGAGAAGAATGAATATTAACAAATGTGGCTGCTCTGCTGTGGATTAACTCAGAGAACTCTAACTGGCAAAAAGTAACATGGTTACTTCATAAATTCAAGAAAAACAAATGTTCTCAAACCCAACTGCCAACAGATACTTAACACTAATGTTCAGTAAAAATCAACTGAGTCAAAAATCAATAAACAGAAATCTGAGAAAAGGGACAAATACCATTAATAGCTCTTAAATCTTTCACAAACACTGATTTGTCATCTAAAGGTATAAACCTTTGTTACCATATAAATGGACTCTTTGGTAACAGGGAACTATATGCCATTTTTGTTCAGATCTCAGACACCTTTGGCATCTGACAAGTTTGTTTTCCCATCATCTGAATATCCTAGCTAATCATGTGGAATCTGAGAAAGCCTAACTGGCTCCTCACTGCATGATTTAGTGATTTTTTTAGCAGACCTGTTTAATACTGGGGATGTACACTTGGAAATCAGAGTCCTATTAGGGGTCAGTAGACCAGTTCCTATGGAGAAACCTTTTAGACAGTATTATCACTTGTGATTTCTAAACAAGTAAGGATTTACTGGTTCATGTCTTTATCATCTCTACTACTTCCTAGTTGTTCTAATGGTGGATTTAGCTAGACCTAATACATAGAATAGCAATAAAACTTGCATTTTAATGTCTAGTTCATATTTAAATCTTTAAAATACTTAGCTAGCATTTAAATCTTTAAAATAATTGTATGTTGGCTAATTCTTTCAAAAATATTCAAACTACCTGCTGTTAATCAAAAGACTATGAGTAAATTGCATATGTTTAGCAGAAAGAGACAACTGAAAAGTCAATTCATTTATCCAGCAATACTATTCAAAATGAGTTAGCACTCACACACTGAAATCAAGGGATAGAGCCCATTACTGTACAGCCATCTACTGGCTGCTCAGCCCTACCTACAGTATGAAATCAGATATCCCTGTATTTATAACCTCCTCATCTCCTAGCAACTAGTTACATATTTTCTTAGGATAGAAATAAAAGCTGCCTATTTTTAAGCTATTAATCCTCTTCCTAAATATGACAAAAAACTAAAAAAATTCCTTAAAAATGCTCTCTTAATGACTTAAGATTTATATATAGCACAAAAGATGGTAAAGAAGCTAACTACCTTAAAAGATACCACCTTAATCCTGGGTTGTATTTCATAACTAAATTTTAGAACAGAAGTGACCAGAACCTGGTACAAAAATATAATCAAGGGGGAGAAATGTGTACAAAATATGAGATTGGGTTCTAATTCTTAGAAATTAGAGCAATTAATTCTACAATACAAAAATGAACAAGGCACATTAGAAATATCTATTTCAGATACAGAAAGATTAAGCAACTTACCTGGGATAAGTACATCACATCTAACAAGAATCATCACTGACACCCAAACATTACACTAGAGCTTTAGTTTAAAAGGAGTTTTGTATACATTTCATGTAATATAAATGTTAACTCACATATCATCAAAAAGGCTGAGATTAAGGCTCCATATAGGAGACTGTTGCCATTAACGATTCTAAGGAACCCCCATTCTAAAAAACATTTATTTTCCTCAATAAAAACTGACAAGGTAAACTACTCTTAAAGCCATCACACACATTATTCTTTTTTCTTAATTTGCTATAAACCCATTATGAAAATGCCAACCCTGGGATTAGAAGTTTACTACTATCTCTACAAAGTATTCCTTTAACTTATTTTAAACACACTTCATTCAACTCAAAAAAGGGACTGTTACAGTACTCTGAAATGTAATTAAGTAGCCTGTGTTTGGTTTTAAAAAAGGAGGAATAACTTCACATACTTGTAAGGAGAGAGCTACAGGGCATTACTAAGTGAAAAAGCAAGGTCCAGACACAGAGTAAAATGTTTTGATTTAAAAAGATATATATATATGCTATGTTTTCTGTATTTTATTATCAGAAAGAATCAATGGTAGAATGTAAAGTAAGAGAAAATACCACCAAAGGGAGAAAGAGACTAGGATGAAGCAGAGTACTGGTGAGACTTCTGAGACTTTACTTCATTACAGAGTAGTAGCCCACCTCCATGATGGCCTTCAATGATTCCTAGACCATGTACAGCATATGACGATGGGTTGGGGTCCTTACATTCTTAGAAATTAGAGTCACTTCACAATACAAAAATGAGCAAAGAATAAGCAATAAACACATGAGTATTCACTCCTTGTGCAGTCCCTTCTCAAACTGAATAGGGCTGACCTGTATACCAATACAATATTATAGAAATGACAATGACGTTTCTGAGGACAGGTCATAAAAAAGAGCCATCTTCTACCTTACTCCCTCTTGAACATTTGCTCTGGTGGAAGCTGCCAAATCATAAGATCACCCAAGAAGCCTATTCAAGTTCCACGTAGTGAGGAACTGAAGCCTGCCAACAACCAGCTGAGGGAGTCATCTTACAAGTGGATCTTCCAGCTGGGGTTAGCTTCAGGTGACTTCAACCTCATGAAACTCTGCGCCAAAACCACCCAGCTCAGCAGCTCCCAAATCCCTAACTCTCTGAAACGGTTTGAGATAACAAATGTCCACTGCTTTAAGCATCTGTGTTTTGAGATAAACTGCTACATAGCAATAAGTAATACATATAGTCTTGACTTTAGAAACCTGCAGGGGTGACAGCTATGGAATAAAACGAAAGACTTAAGACACATAATCAAATGTGAAAGGTGAATCTTGTTAGATTCCTGATTTGAACAAGCTACCAAATGTAACGAGGTAATTATGAGACCATTAGAGAAATTCAGTTGTGGACCAGCATGTGTTTACATTCTCCATTAGATATAATAATGGCATGGTGGTTATGTTAAAGAGAAAAGGTTATCATTTAGACATGCATACTGAAATAGTTAAGTGAAATAACGTGTAGAATTTGACTTAAAATACTCCAGCAAATAAAAAAAGGCCAGGATGGGTGTGTGAGATAGATGAAAAAAGAATGTCAAAATATTATGTATTGAAGCTATAAGACAGATACATGAAGAGTCGATTATTCTATCTCTACTTTTGTTATGCCCCAAAATTTACATAATAAAAGCTATTTTAAGTCTACTCAGCTTATCATTATATTGGCATATAATTTTATAGATTTTAATGATATTCTTCCCACATTCCTGGTTTTTAGAACAGTACTACCTCCCAGTTCCTGATGATCTGCAGTGCTTTTCTCTATATCCTTACCACTTACTTAGGTTTTTTGCAACTATCAACTGTACAGTTTCCCAGTAAAAAAGGTACCTGCTTATCTCAAAAAGGATAATATTGCCCATTTTATTTCTTTTCATGATGCTTAACATTTTGTTGATACTTTTCACTGAACAACATATTAAGAATAAAATTCTTGGGGAAAAAAAAATGTACAATTCCAAGGTCCCTATTACAGAATTTAGGTAACAACTCAGAATTACTTAGTTATTTCATATTCTAAGAGATTGCTGTTAATGAATTGTTAGTAATTGGTTTTTATGTTGATCAGTCTGCTCAAATTATACCCAGCAGTTGATTTAACTGGTGATATCAGGGACTTATACACATCATATGTCAAGAAGTATTCATTAAAGTAGCCTATAATTCATACTGAGAATCTTCAATGTGCAGTGTGAAAAATAGAATGTAAAACATTAATTTTTAATAATCATTACATCTTGATACACTGCATATACTGGATTAAATAAACTGTATAATTAAAATTAATTTTACCATTTTAAAAACCTTTTTCAATGTGGCTAATAGAAAATTTTCTTTTGGACAGCACTGATCAAGACATTTAGCTCCAGAATGCTAATCTATTGACTGGTATCACATGTTAGTAACTGTATCATTTTTTACATTGTATATTTTAATGTAAATTTTTAAAAGTTAACAGTTTTAGCAAGGCATATAATTAATGCCACCCCACTAAAGGAATTCAATGCATATTAAATGGTGTTAATCTGATGCCCCTGGAAAAGGAAACTTAGTTGGTGGGGATGAGAAATGTGAATTTTCATTCTATGTCCTTTTTTTTTTTTAATTGTACCCATTTGAAATAAATTTTCAATTAAAATAATTTGAGATATAATATATTAGTGAAGACTTAAATCCCATTCCTTTATAAGTGAACAGGAAACAATTATCCTCCCAACTGCCATATGTACAATAGTACACATTACTTAGAATAGGATTTAAGAAAAAACCAACAGATGTTAGTTCACCTGATGTAGCTATTAAACTCCCATTATATCCCAACTCTCCTTTTGCCTCCCTGTTTTAGCCAACACCTACTTCAATTCTAGTTTATTCCACTTCTGGCAGTTGCACCTTGGTACAAAAGAAAGATTGCAACAAAAGTTGGTTGAGAAGAGGTTTTAAACAGTAAGATATTCTTACCAAATGACTCATTCAACAAAATGCACCTGCTAGTCCCTATGACTAGATTTCATCCAATGGGACAACTCTAAAAGTCCAGCCACAGGATGATTAGGACTCTACTACAAAAGTGTTCAGTTCATTTTAATGTGATCTGTAAATTCAGTCACTAGCTTCTGGTGCTGAAAATACAGCATACCACCACCTGGCCCCTTTATACAAATAGTTACAGCACCACCTGCCGTTTGCTTTAAAGTGGAATATGTAGTTTGAAAAGTCCTAACATGCATGGGCAACTCACAAAAATAACATTTTAGTTTCTGGAAAGAAGCCTAGAAATCAGTAACTACTTAGCCCACGTTATGCAGATCTCCAAGAGTTTCAATGAGGCTCCTGCTTTCCCTTCAACTAAGTGCCTGCTTTCATGAGCTTGTGGCCCCTCAATCACCTTCAATTATGACAATGACCCCTTTTCTGTTTTTAATACTGAGCTTTCACATTGTATTTTACTCAGGACTAAAGATATTCTTCTAAAACTACTGGTTTAGTCCAATTTCACAATTTATGGTGAGGGAATATTAAAACACAGAGAGATTAGCTTGTTCATCCAAGGACACATCATTTAGAGAAGAAAAGTTTGATTTAAAATATATTACCTTTTTCCAGAAGACATACTGCTAATTGCACAAAAATGTATTTATCTTTCCAAAAAATGGCCTATTTATCTTTCAAAAAAAACTACACTTAACTAAAGTTATACTTAACCTCTATTTTAAAAATCTTTTTGTATTACAAAAAAATACATAGTTGCAAGAAGGGACGGGAGAAGGAAATAAAACAGTACTTTATTAGGCAAAATAAAGTGTAACCTCAATGGTTCATCTCTGATCCCATGGTCACCCACTTACTAGTGATTGGTATGAATCCTTCCTGATCATTCACCCTGTATTTATACTCATATGAACACTTTTTTCTAGGTTTTCTTTTCAATAATCAGAAGCTTATCTAACATATTATTCTATTTGGCTTTTTTAACCCAAAAACATACCTTTATCAGTAAATCAACATTTTTCACAACAGTGTTTGTAGTATGAATACACATGTAAGCTTTTTATTAGCAACAATGCTGCAAGGAATATTTCTGCACATGTGCCTTTCCACACATGTGCTCTGAGCTTTATTTTACCTTCACTCTGACCTGCTTGTGTCTGAGCTCCTGAATACGGCGGCTGCTGCGGCTGAACTCCTGGTGGGTGCACTGCAGAGGAGGAGGAAGCAATGCTATCGGGTGTTCCTGAACGGTCTTCCGTAGGAGCACTGGGTGGCCCTGGATAGTCATGAAAAGTCAGTTCAGTTTCTAACACAAGACCTTCCCCCAGCAAGCTCACTAAGTTTGGTTAAAAGAAACTAAAAGTACTAAAGAATAATCATCACAAATGAAGCCTTCTTTATTTTTTCCTTTGCTCCAATCTCTTAAAAATCCAAAGCAGCAACTGGAAATCATTCCCTTATAAAGTGTGGAGTGCTATATTCCTGAGTCCTTACCTCCCCCTGCAAAAGCTGAAACTCAATACAAATATCCTCCATCTTATGCAATCTATTTTGTAGATCAACCGAAGTATCTTTTCATTCTTCAATGGGTCTCCATTACCCAAAAATCAACTTCAACCCTCTAGCTTGGTATTCAAGGGTCCAAATGTATTTCTTGCAATTCCTCTTCTTACATGTCCCCTCCAGCTAAACTAACCTACTCCCTGTTCCCACAATATATCTAGTATTTTTTTCTGTCTCCATTTCATTTCACACTGTTTCCTCCACTGTCCCACTTTCACAAGTCTAAATAGAAATTCTTTAAAACTCTGCTACAACTCCACACTTCTTTACCCATAAATTTTTTTTCTGTTTGTGAACTTCTATAGAGTATACTTTTACTATGAACCTTACCAACTTCTATTTTGCATTTCTGGACACCTTCCATCTTCCACAGGTATTTTAGCCAGACTCCTTTCTGATTCTTTTGTCTGCCTCACAAGGCCTAGCTCTCTTACACATGGGGTCACTCAAATTCTTCCAAATAATGAACAAGTCAATGGAGAGAACTCACTACAGTTCCAATACTGTGACAGGGAAAAAAAGACATTCTGAAGACAACTGTAGCTATTTATCCCTTTCAGTTTTTTTGTTTGTTTGATTAGGCAATATAGAAGAGAGGCTAAAAGCACAGATTTTGGAGCCAAACTGTGTAGGCTCAAATCCCAGGGCTGTCAATCTCTTTCTGTGCCTCTGTGTCCTCATCTATACAAAAGAAATACTAAGCCCTGCTTCATAAGGTCACTATAAGGATTAGGAATAAACAAGAGCTTATAGGAAGTGCTTATAAAAGTGACTGTATAGCAAGAGCTTCTGAAACTGATTAAAACTTGGAAAGCTCCACATTAAGTACTTGCTATCACTAACAGATTAACTTCTCTGACTCCAAACCTTTATCCTCTACACTGCTGTATCCCAGAACTCAGCATTATATTATTAGGCACAGAGCTGGCAGCTGATCATCCAGGTATTGATGAAAACCAAAACTAGGATAACAGAGTGGTAATGCAAGAGAAACCACAGTAAAATCAATGACTGCTCCTAGGCACCACCATTTTATTGACATATATATACATGTAGATCAATACATACATATATACATATCCCTCTTACAAAAGATACTATTATCCTTAAAAGATGCATCACTTTCATTTGTCTTTTCTCTCTTGTATGTAACCTCTTACTTACTTAGACAGCTCATCCTGTCTTTGAGGTAGTTCATCTCTCCTTCTCAGGTCCGTATTCACTATGCAGCCAAGTTTTTACAGCACACCTGAGTAACTCACAAAGTAACCTGGCATTTTCTATGTGTACAGTTTTTCTACTTCAGTTCAATATACAAAGCTACCAGAAAAATAGCCTTCAAATAATGTGAATCATATTAATCAAATTATTCTGGTCTGGCATATTACTATATTCTAATTCAAATGTTTAATCCTGACCTCATATATAACTATTTACTCCTCTGTCATTTCTTTAAGTCAGAAGCCATAATATTAATTAATATTTCAGTTGCTCTAAAAATGTGCTTTAGAAATCACTTGTTTGATGTATATGATGTGTATTCTTGGAGAAAGAAGACAAGTATTTGTCTCATCTTTTCACAATTTCACACAATTCTCTTTAGTGAATAATCCCATTAAAAGTCTAGACTTGATCCTGTATTTTCAGTTACTGAAAACGGCAAAGTAAACTAGTCAGGTAAACCCTCACAACAAAAAACCTGGACAAAACAGAAGATAATATGAAATCAATGGAAGTCAACCAAATGTCAGCAGAAACCAGAAAAGAGTTTACCCCAATGGAATTACAATGGGTAAAAAACTCTGACCTCTACAGAAAGCCAGTGTTAACTTCATGGCTGGCCCAGCAGAAGGAGATCTGAGGGGAAAATCCCTAGAGTAGTAGGAGAGTTACTGAAGAAATGAAACCTGAAATCTTCAGCATAAGCTCACCCCAAATCCCTAGCTGACCATGGAGTCAGGAAGGGGCAGAGCTCAGAAAAAAGCAGCATCTAGAGCTGAAAAAACTGAGCATAATACCAGTTGCTATACTCCATGGGAAGAAAAGAATGAATAGTTTGAGTCCATACAAGTTAGCTCCCTGCTAGAGCAACAACAAAAAAATCCTCAAAAAACCTAAAAGAATCCCAAGTCATTATACCATATTAGCCACAATGTCCCGTTTTCAATAAAAAATTATCAGACAGGCAAAGAAACAGGAAAATATGACCTACTCAAGGAAAAAAGGCAGGTAAAAGAAACTGACTCCAAACAGGCCCAGATGTTAGATATAGCAAACATTTAAAAGCAGCTGTTACAAATATTTTAAAGAATTGAACAAAAAAAATTCAATGAATTAAAGGGAAATACAGTCTTAATGAATGTAAAGGTAAGGAATCTCAAGAGAAAAAAAATAAACTATACAAAGAACCAAACAGGAATTCTAGAGCTGTAAACAATAATTGAGATCAAAATTTCACTAGGAAGGTTCAACAGTAGATTGGAAATGACAGAAAGAAATCAGTGAGCTTGAAGAGAGCTGCACGGAAATCAAATCCAAAGAACAGAAAAAAAGTGGAGAAAAATGAACCTCAGAGACCCCTGGGACAATACTAAGCTCTTCAATGTGTATGTAACTGGAATCCCAAGAGAGAGAGGGGAGCAGAAAAAAATGCTGAAGACATGACGACCAAAAAATAAAGCAGCATTCATATAAAAACACTTTCTACACTAAAGCAATTTAACCAGAAATCTACATTTCAATTTTTCTAATATAAGATCAGAAGAGAGACTAAGATATCAAATTAATTTAAATCCTACAACAAATCTGAAGTAAGATTATAAAATGGTTCAAATATTTTTAAAAATAGACTTTCTGGATTCTACTTTTGATAAAATTTATATAAACCAAGCTGTAGTTATTCTTTAAAGGGGAGGATTCCACTCACTGGGAGAAAGTGTGAGAAAGCTTTTTGGGGTGCTTCGAGATCACCTACATCTTGATCTAGTTGGTGCTTTATCCAGATACACACACATGTAACAGTTTATTGAACTGAACCCTTAAGATCTACGTACTCCACCATATCCAAGTCGTCCTCCTCCTAAAGAAGGCAAGTGAGGGAAAGAGAGTGGGAATGGAGGATGAGAGGGAGGAGCTAACTTACCTGAAACCTGATCATCTGTTAAGCCAAATGCTGACATGACATTTTTATTGATTTCATCTTGGTTTTTTAAAGGATCAAAAGCTGACATACTTGCTGCCATAACCTGAGTAGATTGTTTTCCAGAAGAATCAGAAGCAGCAGGCTTTTCTTCCCTACCATCCACAGTGTCTATAAGAGAAATAAAGAAAAGCTGTTTCCATTTTATCTATACTGTTAGACTGAAAAAAAATACAAGATAGGTAAATATATATGTGCATATATATTAAGAGTAAGGATCTCTAAGTATAGGATTTTTTGATACTTATTTTTATTTTTTAAATCTGAAAAAAAAGTAAAACAGAAATGCAAGATAAATAACAGCTTTTCCAAAAAATTACATCTTCCTTCTTCCCTGGGAATTGTTAGATGAGAAAAAAAAATACAAGTTCCTTAACAGAGAACATTTTACCCTTAGCTTTGGAGACCTACAACCTATATCCTAGTATCAGATACATACTTGGCACTAATGCTTTATTTTGTTAAACAGTAAGAAACTTAACTGAAGTTATGATATCAGCTTTGTTTTATTTCTATTTGTCTATTGATCTATTATTAAATTACAGAGAAATCTCAAGCCAACCAATACATTAAACACATTCTTTTAATTTGCTATCTTCCTTTAAAATACTTATTACTAATTAAATTACTTATTTAATCATTACAAATGAAATGATATGTCTGAGTTTTGCTCAAAATAATATGTGAGGGGTAGAAATGTATGGAAGCATAGATAATATAACACTGCCTATAGCTGATAATTGTTGAAGGTGTGGGTTCATGGGATTCATATAGTATGATGTTCACTTTTGTATGTTTAAATTTCTCCATAATAAAATATTTTTTAAAGTAGAAAAATAAACATTATATGCAGCATAAATTTAAAACCATGCTTTTCTTTTAATACTAAGGTACTCAACAGGCATTTATACTACTACCTTGTGGAAGGAAAAGGGCTCAAGAATAACATTCACTTAACAGATAGGAATCTGAGGCAAAGGCATAAAAACAATACCCTAAACAAGTAGTAAACAAAAATACTGCTAACCACTACTCAATTAACAATTAACAATTTTTTTCTGTTACTTTGCAACCAAATGAGCAGATATTAGATCACCTCTCAAAATTTATCTTATGAAAAATGTATTAAGTTGAATGTAAGCACACATGGGCTTACAACTCTTTTATTCCTATCATTCTACTGGTTATACTAGTATTTCCTAAATTTCTGAAAGAAAACTCCTGTAAGTATTCCTCCAAAGTCCACTAGTTATCCATTTCCTCACCAATTTCCTTCCTCTAATTCTAAAACTATGCCCACCTACATATCACACCAATCTTAACAAATTATTGCGCCTCACCTACTGCCCCCCACTACTCATACATCCTTCTGCTTACTGCAAACTAAATCCATGAAGAGTAACAGTATCAGTCCACTAGCCTACTAGCTACTCCATTACCTGCTAGGCTACTGCAACAGGAAAATCCAGTACCTAAGGTAGCCTATACATTATTTGCTTTACAGAGGAAAGTGTCAAGAGATAAAACACTGAGAACAGAGAGATAGCCACGTGCTTCTGGGTGAGGGCAAGCTGCATAATTCTGAAGAATACTGACAGCTGATTGGCAGTTTTGTTTCATGGACTAGACTTTCAGTTTCTGATGTGGGTTTTTTTGGCTTATTTTATACTATTTTTCTTGAGAAGATTATTAAATAAGGATATGTTCTAAGAGCTTAGAAGTTTAGACAGTTTCATGGAAGGTGGTCAAGATCGTATAAGGAACAAAAGAGGAAACAAAAAAATAAATTACAACCAAATGTAAAAATAAAGCAGAGAATGTATTATTTAATTCATTAAATAACTCATATAGGATACAATGGCTAGACAGACGGCCACACAAAGAATTAATGTGATACAATTTCCCAATATGCAAAGAAACCAATTTCCCAATATGCAAAGAAACATCATTTATATTAACATAGGTGGGAAGTTAACAGCAAGACATTTGAAAAATAGAAATAATGGACTAACAAAAGCAGAATACAGTGGCAAAAGTGAGAACAGAAAGGTTGTATCATCAAAAAAAGCTTTTACTCTACTCCTTAGAGCACAATATAGGCTAATGTAAGTAGTTTCTGTATAGTTTCGGCTACACTTGTTGAATTCTGCTCTAAGCTTCATAGTGGTCTACAGATGCTTAAACCCCTGAAATTATATTCAAATGTTGTTGCGTCAGCATCTACAAATACTTTGGGGAAAATGGTCAAAAATTTTCTTCAGACCCTTGAGCTTAAGTTTAAGTTTTTGGCTTGAATAAGGTTCAGAAAAGGCAATTTTACTTGACCTGAAATATAAAAGGTTTCATCATAAAGAGGCCAGGAGGATCTCAGTATTTCAGCAAATTTCCAGTATGTTCTGAAATACTGAGGTGGATCTAGAAATTACAAATCAACCACAAATTATTTATTGAGCATCTACCATTAACACAACTCCACCTGGCTGGAAGAAGAGAGGAAGAAGGATATTATGGAAAATGCACCTTTACTTAAACGGTAACTAAATTAAGAGAAAAAAAAATATTATTTCACAATATGGACAATTTTAAATGTCAAATTTACATGCAAACACAAATGCAAAAAAATTAATCTTTAAGTGCCACATCTAAGAATATGAAAAGTTGAAAAGTTTTTTAAAATCTACTTTCAAGCCCTAATATTCTTAAATTTCAGTCTACATTTTAAAATATATTTGGTCCCAAAACTGTATGTCAGTTCCCAACTTGTTGATAAATGCTGCTTGATCTTAAATAGGGCATGTCATCTGTAAAAAGCAAAAATTTTCTTTGTATATTATTATTAAAAGCTGTTTAAGATAAACTTTACACTATTTGTACTAGATTTATTTTTTCCTTGAAACTACTACATATACAACATAGAACTCATGAAATGATTTCAATTCCTATGGTTTATTAATTAACTATCATAGTGAAAAGGGTTCAAAAGTCAAAGGCGTTAGAAAACTAACCTGTATCATAAACCTAGGAGTCTAAGACTAGTAAAACAATCACTGAGAGAGCACTTTCAAAATGAGATTTCTGGGCCCTGCCCTCTAAATAGGTCTATAATGAGATCCATGAACTGGTATAGTAAAATCTGGTAACCTGATAAATCGCCAGATTTAGGAAACAGATATGAATATTAGCTTATAGGCAGGAGTAAGAAAGGATGACATGACACTAAGGGTGTGCCATCCTACTTCTACTGACAAGTTAAAAAAATTTAAAAAAAAAGACCTGCGAAAAGACAGAAGAATAAATCAGAATACAAGGGATGGTCTACCATTTTCAGGAATACTGGAGGAAGGTCCTGGTTCTCCAGGTGGTTCCAAGCTATCCAACAAGCGATTCACTTTATTTCGAAGTTCTATCAGTTCTCGACGGAGATATTTCACCTGACTTGATTCAAGGGGTCTTGGCTGGCCATTAACTGGAATACAAGCATCAATTTGCTTAAAATTAGGGAATGTTCTTATATAAGTTTATCAACAGAAAAATCAATATAGTTTCTTTAAAAAGTGAAACAAAACCAAACAAGATACCTGTGATGTCATTTGAGTGATAACTCTTTTTAAGGATAGGATTCTTTGTTGCTAATAATTTATGTTTTGAAAAAATAAATATTCATCAGCTTTTCTTGATGCCAGATCTATGGCTTATAACCATATTGGTAAAAAAAAGGTTGATCAGGAGAATTCAACTACAGTAAAATAAACTTAAACCACAGAAAGCTTTAATATACTTTTAATAGAAATTAGGTACCTTCAAAAACTTGTTTAACACTATCTGAAACACCTTTTTCTATACATAATGTTAAAAAGTGCAGCATGACCGATAGGAACCTTTTACCTACTTTTGACCTAAAAAAAGAAAAAATAGCTACCTAAAAAAACTAACCTAAAAAGAGACCTATTAAAAAACATAGAATCCATGAATCCACATCACCACTGTCTTTCAAGGTAGTTACTTCCAAAAAGCAGCATATTAGCCACAAGTGATTATTCAATAACCACAGGAAATTTCTTTTTTAATAAAGGCAACATTACCTCCTTTAATTACCCATTTTATCCAGATTATTTTCAGCTGACTAAAAAAACAAATGAAATCCTTCACCTAAAGACTGTCACCACTGAGATTATTTAAAAAAAAAGTGATGCGAGACTCAATGCAAACCTCAGATAGGAAATTCAAAAATCAAACTAAACTAAAATACTTCATAAATTGCCAGAGCACAGATACAAATTCCTAAGGCAACAACCCAAAAAAGGAAATGTATTTGAAAATAATGGTTTAGAGAGATTCTTTGTTAAGTATGTTTCACACATCAAACCACAAATACAAACCTGCCGGTGTTTTACATATTCCCTATATAGTTAGAAGGAATCTCCTACCTATATAAATTAGTTATTGGCTTTTGGTGTAATAAAATCTAGTAATAAATTAGTTACTGGCTTTTACTGGGTATTACTGTTTTTTTCTCTAATATGTGAAAAGGAGAAAAGCAGCTCCTACAGCCAGGAACTAGCCTGATACTGTAAGACAGGCCTTAATGTTGCTAGAAGTTGGCCTGGCAGTCACAAGCAGGCTGTGGTGTTCTATTGAACAATTTCAAAGAACACCAACAATCAGAAAAAATAACTCTGTGTCTGTGACAGATCAAGACAAAAACAAACCACTCCACAATCCTGGGAGAACTCTGAAAAAAAAACAAGAACAATGACCAAACCACAAAAATGACAAATATCCCTGGCTAACAGGAGTGACTGCTGCTGTGTCACTAACTGCAGCCTTAGCCTCAACTCATTCTTCCCACCTTCTGGGTAAGATTTAGTAAAATACCCAATCATAGGACCACCCCCATTTCCTGACAGCATCCCACCTAGAGGAAAGCCCTACTTCCCTGAACTTTGTCCAAAATCACCTAACTGAAGCCCAAGGCCTATAAAAAATTCTAACACACTTTTACTGAGACCTCTTTGTTCTCCACAGTATTCGTTCTTCTTCACTGCAATGCATTTCATTGCATCTCTTTTCATTCCTAATACTGCTTACTTGAGCCTTTTTTCTCAAGTAATCTTAACAGAAGTTTGCTGATTATATCTTTTTCAAATTGTTGATCCTTAGTCCATACCCTGACTTCTAGTTCATTTCTGTTATTATTTTATTTGCTTCACATTCTTCGTATCTTTTGCTGTTTTTCTGGACTCAGTTTCCTTCTTGCTGAAGAATCATTTTTAAATTATTTGGCCTTACTTCATCCTTTTTATATTTAAGGCTATAAGTATCCCTTCAAATTTAGTTTTAGCATACCCTAAAAACTTCATTATATAGAAGGCATCACTAATTATTCTAATTCCCATTATGATTTCTTCTTTGACTATGTTATTTAAAAGCCAAAAGTATGAGAGTTTGGGATAACTTTTTTGTCCAAGGGTTTCTAAGAAGGTCAGAGAATATATGATCTTGATCTCTTCTGATATTTATCAAAATTAGTTAGAAAACCCACAATATGGTTAACTTTTATAAATGTTCATATATACTCAAAAATTATATACCTTCCTGATTGCTACATGCATAAGATCAAGCCTGTACCCAATTTGTTCAAATGTTCTCTATTAATTTTGTGCCTGTTTGATCAGTTTCTGAAAAAATATTAAAAACTCTTCTATGATTGTGAACTTATTTCTCCTTTATCTAGGGAATTTTCCCTAAGGAAAAATCTAAGACTATAATGTGTTAAGTGTTCAGAATTGTTATATATTCCCATGGAATATTCTTTCTATCCATATGAAGTGACTATTACTAATGAAGTTTTCACTTAAGAGTATATTGTTACCTATTACTAACTAAGCTTTGAATTTATCAGGAATAGCTTTTTCTAGCCCTTTAAACTTTGCATAATAATCTTCTAGTATGTCTCTTCAGAATGTAACTACATTTTATTTTTAACTCCAATAAGTCTTTTAACTTGTACATATACTCCTCACTTGTATTGTGATTGTATTTTTGTGCTTTCTATTCATCAGGCTTTCTCTCTGCTTCTTTTCCTCCTTCTTCCCATCTTGTGAGTAACTACCCTTTATTTCCTTCATTTCCCTCTACTTGCTATTTCTAGTCTTTCAATAACGACTCTTACATTTTAGATATGCACACTTCAATTTTTAAAATCTAGTTAATTACTATCGTCCTCCCAAGCAAATCTTTTAAATATTTTAATTTCTATCATCCCCTCCTTACATATAGTTATTGCTCAGTATTTTTGTCCCATCTTCATCTTGTTTTTATATTCCTAAAATTATTGTTTTAGAATCAGTGCTCACTTAAATTTACGTATTAACCAGTTCATCTGGTCACAGTTTCTTGCATCTTCACTGTTCTTCTGGACCTGATCTCCTTCCTGAAATGCCATTTTTAAAAATTCTTTTAGCAAGAGTTTATGAGTGGTAAATTCTCAGTCTTTGAAGATTTCTTTTATTTCCCCTGAAGTTTAGCAGACTACAGAATGTTACTTTTCTGAACAGTTTTGAAGATGTTATTCTACTGTCTTCTAGCTTCTAGCTCGCTATGAAGTCTACAAAGTCTAATTGCTTTGTAGGTGATCAGCCTCATTCTCTCAGGCTACTTTTAAGATGATCTGTCTTACATATCTTCCAGTTTCATGACAATATGTCCAGTGCAGATTTATTTTTATTATCCAGCACAAGACTCACTATGCTTCCAGAATCTGATGGTTTATATATGTTACATAATTCTGAAATTCTTTAGTGACTCCTTCGTCCTCATGTATTTCCATTCCCCCATTCTCTCCTTCAAAGTCTTAATGGAAACAGACTGGTCTTTCTGATTCTCAATTTCTCTCATATTCTCCATCTCTAAGTTTTTGTGCTTTATTCTGTAATTTCTTTGGACTACCTTCCAGTTCACTAATTCCCTCTTCAGCTGTGACTAATCTGTTCTACCTCTCTACTTTGCATTTAACTTCAATAGTTATATTTTTCATTTCTCACAGTGCCTTGTTCTTATATTCTTTTATGTCTAATAATTTTAACACACTTTCACTCCTACTAACTGCAGTTCTTGGGAGCCTTAATCCTACTATTCGTTTTATCCACTGTTTCTTGCTTACGTTGATTGTTTCGTGTCTTACAGTTTTGAACTCTTAATTCTGTCTGTGAGAAGCCTATGTGACCCGAGTTAAAAACATATCCCTCCAGAGACATTTTTGCCTTTATTTCTTATTGTTTTATTATAGTCTCTGGGCTTGTGAGTTCTCAAACTGCAAATAGCTTAAATTTAAACACAATTCACCTAAGAACCATGGTCATGAATCCTCAAGGAAGCCTTTGTACCCCCCTGACAGTCTAGGGTTTATGAGTTTCCTATATCAACTCCTTGACTTCTCTACCAGTGGAGAGAGATTTTTCTTCTACAATATTCTTTTTGAGAGTATAAACCCACCTTGGTGTAGGACCCAAGGTCTGTACTATGTAGAAACCAAATGACAAGTACCTACATTATATAGACTAAAATCTTTATCATCATCACCAAATTACACCAAGTCTCAGCTTTTGATACTTCAAGCCCTGATTTTTAATAACATGTATTTTTTGATCCCTGGTCATTTCCCTTATTCTCCTGAACTACCTCAGGTACATAATTCAAAAAATATATTTGTAAAAGTTTATCCAACATGTCCTCAGTATTTCAGGAAGGAGGATTTTCAGTTTCTCAAATCTCCTGGAGAGCTGACCAATATAGGTACCTTAGATTCACTACTGGAAAAAGATATTTAAAATTTTTTAAGCAATTTTTGTTACTAGCACTTCAAAATCCAATTCATATTCAATCTTTCCATATGGACATGAAATAGACACAAATTAAATCAACTGGCCATGATCACATTATGTTGAACTGTGAAGTTTAGTGCCATATGATTTTTTTAGATGCTAAGCAAAATAAAACATCCAGAAAAAAAGACATTTTACTTATCACAAAATCATGCTACCATTTTAACTGTGTAATCATTTCTATCTCACTCCTTAAGAGTTCTACCAAATCTGTTACAATTGGGAAGAAAACAAAATCTAGAAGATCACAGTCAATTTGTTTTTCATTAGCTATCTCTAATCTTTAAATACGCTTTGAAAAATATTGTCTAAAGTATCAGGCCCAGATATTATACCTGAAAATAAGTAAAAACATACTATATTATACAAGATAACTATATATTCTCAAAGAATTCAACTTAATAAAGGTAGTGTTAACCCTGCAATTATTTTCAATCCTGGAAACATTTATGTAAGTGGCACACACTGCTACTTAGGTAACTGAGCAGATGGGGAATTTAAAATATGCTTACTGTCTATTATTCTTAAGATATCTATCTACATATAGATACAATTAAGTCTCAATAATTCAAAAATTCTGGTACAGCTGAAAAAGTTACTTAATTCTGAGTCTTCAAAAGGAAAATACCTAAGAAGTCTTTAATAAAAATGTAATTAATAATACAGTAAATTTATTAGATAGTTTACAACTTACCAAATAATGTCAGTTTCAGTATCCTACTACATTGAATTGCAAAGGAAAGGTCAGAACTATCAAAAATTGTTATAAGATCTCCATCTGGAATTTAAAAAGAAAGTAAGAGTTTCAGATCTGTATCAGTAGTAAACTAGGATATATGTTAAAATCCAAAATGTAGATCAAAGAGCATAATTAGAATCTCCGATAAAAAACCTGAAGCTAGGAAAGTTGTATTTGTTCAAAAGAACACTAAATCATTTTGTTTATTACTTTTACAGCAAGGTATTTATCACATCTTTATAAGAACTAAGATTAATTTATTAAGTAATCTTTTCTAATCACCAGGAGGAGATTCAAGGTAGCAATATCACGAATTACTAATTTAAACCAACATCTTTCCATCCAAAAAAATTTTAATATATTTAACCAAATTTAAGATAATAAAGATCCTCAAGGTTTGAATTTTAATTGTAAGTATAGTAAAATGCTATGGACACAGAGAGAAAACCATACCTAACAGTAACTAAGAGGGTTGCAAAAAAGATTTTTGCAGAATTGCCCTAATAAATGGGTAAACAGACCATTTTTATACCAGGATGAAAACTGTCAACTCCCCAGAAAAATACTCATATTCACAAGAATCTGAAACCCCCTAGATTCTCAGGATAAAAAAATACTGTAATTAGCATTTCAATGGCCTATTTCAAAGCTTTCAAAGCACCAGGAGAAAAAGAGTTCTCCAGAGAAAGCAAGAACAGAAAGGAAACCTCAGGCAAGCAGTTGGTCTCAGGACTCTGCAGGGTATCATCATAGCCACAGTTGTGTTGGAGGAGGGAGTTCTGGCCTGGGAAGGCTGAGAGGCTGCTCCAGGGAAGCACTGCTACACCAACTGTAACACTGATTAGGCAGATTTATTTGGACAAAAATAGCAATAAAAGTTATCACAGAGGATTTCACCACTGTTTATAGCTCCTTTAAACCGGACCCACTTCTTGTAACAAACATTATCTAATGTTGAACTTCAGGGATTCTACTCACAAACACATTTTTAAGAAAATAAAGTATGTATGAAAAAGAAGGAAACTTACTATAAATGCCTCTTTTTTGAATTCCACAAGTGAAAGACAGTATTTCTGATACCATGAACTCTACCTAAGCCAGCCCTCCACACTAGTGCCCAACACAGTCTTTGGAACACAGCTCTGTGCAATTCAAAATACTTAGAAACAACACAAAAAAACAAATTCAATGTGGTAACTAGATGCGGTGGACAAAGTTTCAACACTGAGGATACTCTAAGTTAGGGATCCACAAACTGCGACCAATGGACAAATCCTTGTGTTCCCAGTAAGGACTGCAAACTGAGAATGGTTTTCACATTTTTTAAAGGTTTTAGAGAAAAGATGAGACAGCCTTATGTGACCAGCAATGCTAAATATTAGCTGATCCTTTAAGGAAAAAGTTTGCCAATCCTCACCCCAAATGAAAATAAGGGACTTAAGAGAAAGCCAATTCAACAGCAAAGTCAGTTTAAGACCAGAGCAAAGCACGTGAGGTAAAACAGAGACCGTTAAAATTTTGAGTTGTCAAGTCAAGAAAAAGAACAAATTCATCAAATTAAGGCACACATTTGGAAGTCAGACAGGTGAAAGTCAATGTATTGTAAGTAGATGAGATTACTAGGGAAGAGAACAGCAAGAAAACTGCTCTCCTTTATTGTTCCTTAACATAGATGGCCCTCAAAAATTAGTGTTGGGTACTGGTAAATGATTTATTACAAAAAGAACGGAAAATTATGCCTATAGCTAAATGACCAGCTTCACTGATCACCAGTTACTTATACTCCCCCTTGCACAGTATAAGTTGTTGGAAAGTAGCCATCCAGCCAGGGACATATCACAACCCACTGATGTGACTGGAGTTGGGCCAGTGTGATATGAACCAAAAAGGTAACACCACCTCAAGGCCCAGAGAGTACAATCTCCAGTGTGATCTTCCACACTATGTCTTCACACATTTGTCTGCCAGATGTCGATGCTCAAGGTGAGCTTGTAAGCCATGTGGTAAAAGATATCAGGCTTCTATCAACCTGGGTCCCAAAATGATTTTAGTATTAAGCCACTGAAATTTTAAGATGTCTAAGGACAGCATCACTTTCAGCCAACACAGAGACAGAGAAGAAGCTATTAGTAATAAGAAAAAAACTGGGACACAATAGAGTCAGAGATGTTAAGGAGTAAGAGTGTTTAAAAAAGGATAGTATGGATAGCAGTGCCAAGTACTGAGAATCAAGGTAACATAGACTGGAAATACATTTGCAGTAAGAAAGATACTGATGATCACCTAAAGCACAATTTCTGTAGAATGTTAACAAAGAAGACAGGTTTAAAGAAAAGGAAATATACATCATCTATAATACTGCCACTGTGTATCTGATGAAACATGAAACATTTGTCATGTAAAACCCAGCACCATAAAAACTGCTTAGTGGTCAAATGAGCCTGGGATCACTGCACACTATAAACTGACAGCGTTTATCAGCATATTACATGCTCTGAAAATTCCTGCAGTAAAGACACGTATTTGTCTTTGTTTAAAGCAGCTTTCCTATACCTAGTTGACAATGAAAACCTTCTTCTTTCAGTACTTACTGATATTCCTTTCACTTTGGGAAATATGAGTGAAAGTTTAGCTTCAAATACAAAAAGGAAGCCAGAATTACACAGGCCAAAGAGAAAAAAAATACTTGTAAAAATATACGTGGAAGTCTTCTATCACTAAAACTCCCTTCTAATAATAAATCACTTAGCTATTTTTGACTTATATAAGAAGTATAAGTACATGAACATCCCATTAAATAAAAGAAAATGGGCCCTCAATTACCATGGGAAATGAAAAGTATTTTTATTCTTAGATAATTCAATAAAAAATAGGCAAAGTAACAGACTTCAAAAAATAACTTTAGAAACACTTACCTTCATCTTTATACTTTATTGTAACCTCATCATTACTCAGAAGTTTTCCTCTGAAAACTCGTTGCATCATTAGCACTAGTTCATCATAAGTAATATCTTCATTATGAATGGGAATTCGTCGAATATCCTCTCCAAGTTGAGCTTTGATGATTAGCTTTCCACTTAGGTCCAACTGTCCATTCATGGTAGACTCCAGGATGTTCTATATAGACAACTCTAGAGAAAAACTGATAAAATGGTTTTGATGACTAAGCATGTCTTAAAAGCAAGCAAAGCTACTACGAAGATCTAAGAAATTCTGGCTGTCAAGAGAATCACTGTTGCAAAGTTGCCATATTCATGTTAAAATAGTCTGGAGATAACTTTACTATAAGTTATAAGTGAGTAAGACAATAAGCTTTATTATTTTTGTCTATTATCCTACCCAAATATTTAACTTCTCTGACATTACCATTTAGATTTCAAACTTAATGTGTATAAAAACAAATTCCTGATCTCCTCCCAAAATCTGCTTCTCCTGTAGTCTTCACCATCTCAATTAGTGACTAAGACTAAAATCTTAGTTCCTCTTTTCCTCACACTTTACTTCCAGCAAACTGCCAACCTAAATTGGTTGCCACTACCTTTAAAAATCTCTCTAGAATCTAATCACTTCAGCACTTTCACCTCTATCAACTTGATCCAAGCCACCACCACCTCTTGCCTGCATTATTGCAAAAGAGTCCTAACTGGTAGGCCTGCTTTTATACCTTTGCCCACTTTTAATCTATTCTCAACACAGCAGTTATCCTATTAATTAAAATCAATGTCACTCTGCACAAAATCTCCCAATGGAGTCCCATCTCACTCTGAGTAAAAGCCAGAACTACAAGGTCATTATTTGGCCTCTGGACCCTGGCCAAGTATTTAACCTCGTTTCCTACCTCTCCCTGGCTTTCTGCTACACCAATACTGGAGGCTTTGCACTTGCTGCTCCCAGTCCAAAGCCTTTTTCACAGCCCTTACATGTGTCAGATCCCTGATCAAATGTTCATTTCCTAGGCTTTCCCTAACCATCTAACCTAAAATGGCCCCTCTTTCACTTTCTTACCCTACTTTATTTTTTTCAAAGTACCTGTCACTACCAGATATTAAAAATTTATTTTTATTGTCTCTTCCATTAGAAAGTAGGGCAGTAAATGGTTTTGTCTGCTGTATTCCAAGAGCCTAAAACACTGCCTGCTACATGATAGTTATTCAATAATCTTTAAATGAAGGGACAAATACTGGCTCCTAAACTCTATTAGCTTATAACTAAATGTTAACTGAAAAGTATGGGTGAACACTAGAGTCTCAAATTTTTTTCTCTAAAATAAGAAAGACCTCATGAGTACTTGCTCTAATTTTCATATTTTGGGAACTTGAGGAGAAAGGATGAGTGATAACCTCCTAAGCTTTTGAACAAGACTGTCCACTTGTTATTGTCCCTACATATTCTGTAACACACCCCCTCTCAAGACCTGAGTAGGTATGTATGATTAGACTGCACACTAAAATAAGACAGCATCAGAGAACTAGCCATTAAATATTAATCTGCTATAGAATTTTCCCCTCTTGAGTTTTATTTTACTTATTTCAGGTTATTTGCTGTGATTACCCTGTAATGACTTTGTAATCCTAAATCCACAATAATGTCTGAAGTCTCTATTAATTTAAATATTGTATGACAACAGAGAATATGCTTACTACGAAATAATGTGTTAATACATCTTCTTCTCTAGGCCTATGTCTTCAAGACCAAAAAGTTCTTGAATACATTATCTATAACCATTGAGCTTTCCCTAGCATCAACTCCATCCTCCTCCTTCCCCAAGCAAATGATCTCTCACGCTCTTTGAAATGCCTTACAATCTCCTCCTGGCCACATTCTGGTTCCAACCTCATACTTTACTACTGGCAGCTTTTTTTTTCCTCCTCGCAAATGTGTAATTTCATTAACATACTTGGTTTTCATACTTCTGTACAAATCTTTTTTCTATGGGCTAGAAGCACCTCACCTACCCCCAACACATCAAACTTTCGAATACTTCAAGTTTTCATGAAAACTTATTTGTTTCATGAAATTACATATAAATGCACTTATATGCTTCATGTGAATGCCCTGTGTCCTTCCAACTAACTTGTTTCCTGAACAACAGACGGATGAGGAATAATAAATTTCTGATAAAGGGTTGGGAGAAAAAAGCTATACTATGAGGCCATTTCCTAAGTCAGGCCATCACACTGCACCTTCTTTGTATAGAGAAGTGACTCCCCACAACAGACATACAATTAAAAGAAACTTCCAAAATGGAATATAATTGATTGCATATCTTTTTTTATTATGGGGGAATTGCTGCTCAGTGCCAATGGATCTGAGAGCATAATTCTCTTTTACTTTATATCTGCCATATTGGCCTGCAAATTCACTTATTCCTTTGTGTTTCTCATGGACTATAAATTCCCTATGACCAGGTACCAGGGCTTTTTTCCTAAGGTTGTCCCCAGTTTGATAAAGTTGTCCCCAGCTCAAGGTATCAGGCTGTCAAGTGTAACAAAACTAAGGGTACCCACAAAACTTTTCCTTGCAGTGGAAAAAACAGAAGGAATTCAGTAGAATTCAGATCCTTTCTAACTTGTCACAAAGTAAAGACTGGTATGAACTACTTGTTGCCAAGACTGCTGGTGAGGTCCTTAAAGCATTTTCTTCTCCCATCTTGTTCTTGCCCCACTCCCTCTTAAGTCCAGAAACGACAGTCAGCAACTTATGAAACCTTCAAACAGGAGAAGCACTGGAGAATAAAGTGACATGTCCAAGGACACATAAAAGGCCTGCCTCTTGAACCAGGAGGCCTGGATTCAAAGGCCAAACTGCCAGCTCCACTAACCTTGTGGGTACAAGGCCTGCTAAAATTCAGAGGGGCCTAAATTAGGCACCTCCAGAGGGTAGCAATTTCCTTAAAGAAATCCTTGGTAATATCCTAGGTTATTCCAAAAAACCCAAGGATTCTCAAATCCGGCCTGACCACAGGCAATGTAGCAAGATGGTAAAAATTCCCACTACTAGCTGTGTGACCTTAGAAAAATGCTTCGCAATGCCTCACTTCCATTATATGCAACATGGCAATATCTAAATTTGGATATTTGTAATGATTAAATGTTATCATGTATCTGAAATACTTAGTACAGTGCCTAGCAAAGTTATCTCTTAAAAGTTAACTATCATCACTATGAAACTGGGTTGGGCCTCGGGATGGCGCTGGATTAAGCACCAACATAGCCGAGTAACGAGGTTCCTAAGTGACCCTAATCAATTTATTCCCATGGGTGCCATTCCCCACCCTTCTCACCCGTCCAGGTCTCTCTAGGAGTTGGGCGCCCGAACACCCCAAGCCTCCTGAAGCACCCCTCCTCCCCCTCTGGCAGTCCGACCCCTGGAGCCAGAAGGAATCGGCGCGAGAGCACTTGCTGGCCCAGACAGCCCCGGCCTCCAGAACCCGCACGAGACCCGCCTCCCGCCACCGTGGCCTGAGGGACCCCTTCCGGCCCTCTCCGCGGCCTCGCCTCACGCACGCAGGGCCCCGCCTGGCTCCAACCCCTTCCCACGGCCGCCCGGTGCCTGCGGGTTCGAGCGAGGCCCTCCCAGCGAGAGCTTCCCGGTCTCCCGGCCTGCGGTCCTAGAGAACGGCCGCGCTCCCGTAACAAGCCGCCATACCGGCTCGCCAAAGCCGTCCCTGCCGCCCCTCCGCGGGTCTCCGCAGCCGGGCTCTGCAGCGTGCGGGAGAGGCTGAGGCCAAGGCCCACTCGGCTGTCCTCCGTGGCCGCCGCACCTCGCTCGCAGGCTCGCGCAAGCCCTGTCCAATCGCACGGACCCACCAAGCCAGCGAGAGCTCGGGCCCAGTACGTGGCAGGTCGGGAACAAGAGGGGCGGGAACAAGAAAAATATCTGCCCTTCGCTCCGCCTTACAGCCAGCAGGCCAACCCAAAACGCATGCGCAGCGGCGGAGGCGCCCAGCCGGCCAGCTGTGAGTGGGCGGGAGCCGAACAGATGCACGCATGCGCAGAGAGTGACCAAGCATTTCCGGTTTTCCTGAAAGCCTGTTTCTCCACAGAGTGGGCGTGGTTTGCTGCTCTGGATTCTGAGAGCCTGTTAATAGTGGGCATTTATCCAAATTTAGGTTTTTTTGCTTTTGTTTTTCCACCATTATAGTTCAGTTCTCCTAGTCATATTTTGAAAAAACTAACGCTTTGCCGCCTTCCTTCCACAAATTCATTCATTCATTATTCGGCGCCTACTCTTTTCCAAGCACTGCTGGGAATGGGGATGAATCAGTTTGTGAGCAAGGAATTCCCAGTAGCGTTTACGAGAAAGGACAAACGTCTGAGTGTGTAAAGGCTCCTAGTAAATTTAGGTGATAAATGCATTAGAGTGATAACTTGAATTTAACGAGTTACTTCCCTTACCAAGAATAGTTTCTTGATATGTATGTGTAAACAATGATATTAGTTACTTTGGCCTTTTATTAATGAACCCCAAAAGGCAAGTTATCATATAATTATCACTTACTAAGCACTTATGGTCACATTTATTTGGATAAACATCAATCAAGCCATTAAGAGGATTTTTCTAGGAATTCTGTAAGTAAGCACACCTTTAAAGTGTTCTTAGAAAACACTCTTTTTTGTGGGGTGCTTAGAAAGGTACTGAACCAGAGTAAACTGACCTTCATGTTCACCTGGTCCTCTGTCCTATGTCAACGTGGATTTGTTTTTAGATGATCACCAAAAATAGCCTTGAATCAGAAATGTGAAAGTTGGAAATACGTGCAGAAAGGAGAAATATTGTAAGGAAATACCTCTGACCTGCCCATAGCAAGGTTCTAATTCAAAGGTTATTTTGAGGTAAGAAATGAGGTGCAACATCCAAAGGTTACTTTTCTTGTTTCCCAGACATCTGAAGAAAGGTTAGAGCTGTACTGTGGTTTTGAGAGAGTCAGTCAACTCACTACCTGTTCTTTCTCTGTGAAAGTCTGTGTAGCTGAAAACTTCTCAAGGAAAAGGGGGGAAATCCTAAAAATAAAAAAGGGGGATTCTCAGACTGGGTGGGAAATGGGACAAAGACTAAGAATCTTGTAAGCAAGTTAGATGAAACCTGTATTTCATCATGTTCTCCTTTTGCAGTTAGTATAAGTTATCTTAAAAAGTTCAATCATCTCAGCTACCCACAAGGGAATAAAGGAAAGTATGTAACTTCCTTCTTGGGTGAGAATTTCAAAGGAGAAGTTATGTCCCTACCCAGTATGGACTTTGTTGTGGTGGCAGTTGGCTAAATAAGAGAACTAAAAAGGGGAAACTCATGAGGACTAAATAGGGGCCAGTTGGTCAGGTCAGTCTCTCCTCCATATACATACCAAAAATTACTGTTCTTGGTAAGGGTGGTAACTGGTTAAATTCATATTATTGCTCCATTGTCAGTTATCACCTGCATTTATTGGGAGCTTAAGTATAGAGCCTGTATCATCAGTAGCTATGGGCATGTTACAGGAACAGTAATAACAATAACAGCTATTAAAGGAAAACGAATAATATTCTTACCATGTACCTCTGAGTGAGTCATTCTGAGCACCAGCTAAGCAAAATACTTCAGTCTGTCTTACCAGTGGCACATCCAGTGAGACCCTAAAATGTTTTTGCCTTACCATGGGGCTTTATATCTGACCTCTCTTCAGAGAAATCGCTTAATAAAGGCAGCACTTCCTGGATTTTTTGCTTCTTTAGAGTCTGGCACCGCCTAGGTATTCAGTACATATTTACTGAATGACAGAATGAAAACTAAGCTCCCCACCATTTTATAGGACAAGATTTTAAAACAGAAAGCTCCCATCATTGGTGAGTTCCTAGTTTCCTAGCAGTATAGGATTTTATCTCTGAGTAATTTAAAATTGTTCACTTTTCTTTATTTATGTCTCCTAGAGACAGTGCTGAGTTACCACTGTGCACTTTGTCAGTTTAGGTTGAAAGACTAATGACACAAGGTGTGCAAAGATATCTCACAACTTTTCATTTGATTAAGAAAAAAACAGTGCTGAGTTACCACTGTGCACTTCGTCAGTTTAGGTTGAAAGACTAATGCCACAAGGTATGCAAAGATATCTCACAACTTTACATTTGATTAAGAATAATTTTTTTCAGCTCTTTAAGAAACCCAGATATCAGATTCTAGAAATCATGTATGTCAAGTCAAATTGTGTGCACTTGGAGGTTCTTGCATATCTAACATTGTGCCAATGATCCTGCTTTTACTCCCTCCGTACAAATGCATAATTAAACAGGGCTGATATGACAATAGACATTCATACTTCATTATGGGAGAGTAAATTGATACAAATTATTTTAAGGGCAGTATGGTAATATTTAAATACCAAACCCTATGTTGCTCAACAATTCTATTTCTAAGATAGCAGAGTAACCCTTGCACATGAGATCATGGATATCTTTAATGTGTTATTTTCAAGTAAATGACTAAAAAGCAAATAAAAGAAACATATTAGATCTCAAAGATATTTTATTGAGTGAAAAAAACAAGTTTCCCAAAGTTGTGTGGCTGTGCAGAAAAGAGTTAACATACCAATCTGAGACTATTATTCTTAGAAAGACCTGCTTGAAGGTTGGCTGATGGCTGGTGTCTGGAATTTGGATTTCTTTGATAAGAATAGTGTACTGTGCCTAAACTATACAATGTGGTTTATGCTGAACACAGGCTTGCTTTCTAGTCATCTGGAATTTTGGTCCACACCGAGCAGAAGGTGCCTTTGTGACCAACCCCAAATAAAAAGCCTGGGCACTGAGTCTCTAATGAGTTTCCCTGGTAGACAGCATTTCACATGTGTCATCACAATTCATTGCTAGGGGAATTAGATACCTCCAGTGTGATGGTACCAAAAGAGAATTTTTGGAAGGTTATGCCTGGTTTCCTCCAGATTTCACCCCATGCAACTTTTCCTTTGCTAATTATCCTTTATATCATTTGCTATAATAAATCATAGCCATGAATACAATCCTATCCTGAATCCTAGAGTGCTTCTAGTGAGCCACTGAGCCTGGGCGTGGGCCTGGGGACCACTGAATCAGTTTCCTATACCTTTTAGGTAAAAAACGAAAAAAAGCACAACACAACTATGAATTTCCATGGGTATATAATTTTGTGTACAGTTGACCCATGAACAACACAGGGAGTGGGGTGTGCTCATAAAATTTTTAACTCCCCAAAAACTTTACTAATAGCCTACTGTTGACTGGAAGCCTAAGCAATAACACAGACAATTAACACATATTTTGTATTTATATTATTATATACTGTATACTTACAACAAAATAAACTAGAGAAAATGTTTTTTCAAACTGTCAAAAATCTCCAAAAATTTTTCCAATATATTTATTAAAATAATCTGTATATAAGTGGACCCACAGAGCTCAAATCTGTGTTGTTCACAGGCCAACTGTATATGTATTCCTTAAATCTAGAATGATACACACCAAGTTTATTACAGTGGATAACTGTGAGAAGAAAGGAAATGAAGAGGAAAAATATTTTAAGTTAATATAAAAATAATTTCAGCCTGCATTTAGTCACAGAATTTTAGAGCCAGTAGGAATTTAGAATTCACCTAGTCCTACCCATACCTGTACAGAGGTACAGCCTCACACTTATGCCCACAGAGGTAAATGTCTTGCCTCAAGTCATATAATTTGTAGCTGTGACCACAACTTCCAGTCCAGAATGTGCCCTAATCTGCAATTGCTTGGTAACTACTGTGGCCAGAAAAAAACAATCTTCCTTTTTTGTTATTGCAAAGGTCCTGATCTCATATCATGGTTTCATAGCAGCTTATATCAAAGTTCAGCAACTTATCAATGTCATACTTCCATGTGTAACAAAGCTCTTCTAGAAGATAAGGATTGGACGATAGTTCCCTGGAAAATATAGTTTGTATAACAGCATTAGATGATATGTTTTGCTTTTATTTTTTTTCCTTCTTCTTTGTTAAAGGGTTAATATATTAGGCGATGGAGTTTTTCAGAAACATGATAGCTTGCAAAAAGGACTGATAACCTACTTCTACTTTTTGAAATAATTCACAAGTCAGGACTTGAAAACTAACTCCAAAGTTCATATATTGCAATTGGGAGTATAAAATGGTATAACCACTTTGGAAAACTGTGTAACAGTTTCTTACCAAGTTAAATATGTAGTTGTATTTATCATAATTTTATTGTATTTATTATTTCTTATAAATATATGCTTATAAAGTTAAATAAATGCACTTCCAATATGAAGACATATAAACTCAAAAAATGCTAACTGTTCCATGAGCCTTTCAGATATTTTTTAATCAAATGCAGAGTAAGCATTTTATTTTATTAAACAGAGAGAAAACAAACTGGGGGAAAATATTTTTACCAACATTTTCACTACACACAATACTATGCTATATACAAAGACACACACTTAACATACCACAAGAAACTTCAGTATAACAAGTGAGTTGCTGAAGACTGCTCTACTACTATGCATTAATTCTGCCTGTTCTAGAATGCCGCAAATGGAATCATGTCCTCTTTAAGTCTGGTTTTTTCACTCAGCATAATGATTTTGAGATTCACACATGTTGTGTGTACCAATAGGTGCTTATTTTTATTGCTGAATAGTATTTGGTTGTTTGGCTAGACCACATTTTGTTTTCGCTTTCACCAGCTGATGGCATTTGGTCATTTCCAAGTTTTGTAAACAATGAATAAAACTGACAGTAATATTTTTATACAAGTTTTGTGTGGACATGTGTTTTCTTTTCTCTTGAAATACCTTGTGGAATTGCTGAGTCAAAGAGTAAGTGTATGTTTAAGTATAGTATTGCATTGCTTTGGAGTAACACTGAACATTACACATGACTGTTCAGTGTGTGCACTTAGCAAACTGGCAAGCGTGGATGTCGATATGCTGTGTTTCCAACTGCTGTGCCATTCTGTTCATTCAAAAATTTTCCCCCTCGTTTAGTAACATACCCAAGTGGACATTTTCAAGAATACTTAATGCTAATTTCAAATAGTGTTAGAATAACTGTGTTTTTCCCAAGAAATGTTTAACTGTTAAGTGACATATGTGACTTATGCGATGATGTTTCCCTATTTATGTTGGGTGTCAGGAACCTTATGGTCTAACCTGTGGCCCACTCCTAGCAGAAATGTAAGACCCTATGACATGCTTCCCTTGGGTACTAATCTCATCCCTGGCTTCTTACTGTTTGTTCCTATGATTGTTTTCCCTTCCTCCTGATTTCCTTAATCAGTTTCTCAGCAACTTACATACATATTTTTTCAGATACATATTTTAATAGGTTACCTATAAGTAAGTGAAGTAATATAGATGAAACATATATAACACTGTTTGAATTTCTCTGTGTGTGTGTGTGTGTGTGTTAATAGATAATTGCTAGAAAAAACTTCCTCTCTCTTCTCCAAGATTTGGTGTTTTATTTTTAAGAAAAGGTGGATGAACACAAAGAGACAGAAAACATTTGAGAGGGAAAAATAATATCATGGAACCTTACTCAAGATGCCATGTGTCTGTCATACATGATCCAGTTGGCCTCAGTTGGAATGGTTATTTATGTCCCTGTTCTTCATTTTAAAAGTTTCTACATAGTCCCTTACATATTCCTTACCATAAAACAAAAAATACTCTGCCTTTATGAGGACATATAAATTCAAAAAATCCTAAAGCTCAATAAGTCTTTGGAGTGTTTTGAATCAAATGCAGAGTAAACATTTTGTTATATTAAAAAGGGAGAAAAACAGTAAGTTAGGAAAATATTTTTACCAAACGTAATGATTAAAGGGCTAATAACTGTAATAGAAAGGAACTCACATGAATTTATGAGAGAAAATAACAGTAGCCCAGTTGATAAGACAACACATATAAGTAACTAAAAGTAAACAAATATATTAAAAATGTATATGGTTCTCCAAATATTTTTGACATATGAATGAAATGTTTTCAAGGCATTATAGTAATATATACAAGGAATCTGAACAAATGTCCTTTTCTTTTGACACATTTACCCTAGACTTGAGATTTTATCTTAAGTAAATAATTTTTAAAAAAGAAAAAACATATATACTAGTTTATTATTCATGTGTCACTACAATATTAAAAATTGAAATGATCTAGATGTCCAGTAATAGAATTTTGTAACTTATGCTATATTATGCAATCAATTATAAGGACTGAGTAATTGTAAGTGAAAATCAGAATAAGATTTCATTTACTATAATTATAGTTATTTAAGTTCTTATGTATTCAAACAAAGAGAATAAGGGAAATGGAAAAACACATTATTGATAGGGTAAGGAATTATGGATTTTGATTTTTTGAAAAACATACCTTGTGATTACCTTCTAAATTTGTCATGATATGGTTAGCACAGTATTTTTAAAATGTTAAGTAGGAAGGTATTTCTTTTCTTAGTAACTGGCTCCTTCCCTCTTATCCTCCACACTTCCACCTGGGTAGAACCTAATCCTGTCTTGGACCTCATCTAAGGAGCCAGGTATTTAAGATTCCAGAGTCATATTAGGGGGTTCCACACAGCCAGAGAACTCCAGCAGTAGACAGGTTGGTATAATCTAGTGGGCACTGTCAAGCTCTTCTGAATGAGACAGTGACACCCTGATTCCAATTAGCTTGAGAATGATCTCTCTTTGTTGGTAACAGAAAAAAAAAGGAAGATAAATTTCAAAATGGGAAGATTTCAAGAATAAGAGAAAAGGAAATCCAGACTCTTAAACAGTGAGCTCTAAACTGTCCATTAAGACCCAGGAAAGGAAATCCAAAGGTCAGCATGGTTTGTTGCCCAAAGAAACTGTGCTACCACAACCAAAAAGGCTGTAGTAAGGCACTGCTACCACACAGTATAAATCAGACACAGCAACCTGGCCCCAGGTAACATCATGAAAACCTGTTCTACAAGAAGAAAACTCTGAGTCTCCCTTGCCTGAAATTTTCTAAGTCACCCTTTGGCTCCTATAGTCCCTATCCTCTCTCCACAACTTCCAGTGCACCAAATAATTATTTGCTTTTCTTACCCCATTAAACCTGCTCAGACAAAGATCAAATAGTCTCATTCAGCATAAGGGAAATGACTGACAATCCTGAAAATGGTTGTTTTCCCATGAGATAACTTGTATTTTGTCAGGAGATATAGTGGAAGCACTTCAACAATTTGATGCTGACAACCCATCATTGATGTAACTGTCCTCTTTCCCCTCTGGGATATCCCATCAACCAGGTCATCCCCCATCCCTCCCTTCACAGTGGGTATGTGACTCAGGCTAGACCAAGATTCCCTGAAAATAATGCCTGTGGGCACATGACCAAGAGAAGTGAGGCAGTTCTTTGGTCCTTTTCTGTCCCTGCCCCTGATTTGCTCTGTATCATAGGGGCTGAGCCCCACAGGTTCCTGGCTCAGCTGGCTTCTGGCTCGCTGCAGCCTATGGGAGAACTGACAGAAGGTTACAGGGCAGGAGAAAAGGTATGCCAATGGCCAATTTCCGACCTTGGAAACCTAGTTTGAGGGTGAAGTCAAACACTCCTTGCATTGGAATTCTGGACCTAAAGTTAGTGTTATCATACATTTTATGTCCCAAACCAGGACACCTGAAAGTAAGTGGGCCTACTAGTAATATATAATTCAGGGCAACAGGCACAAACTGGGACTGGCCCAGGCAAACCAAAACATACAGTCCCCCTACCTAACATCAACTCAGCCCTTGGGTTTTAAATGAGCTATTAAATTCTCTTTAATCCCTAACCTAAACTTCCACTAAGCTAAAAGATTCCTGACCAGTGAATGAGGGAGAGGCTTAATATTTCCAAGTGGTAGTATTTCAAGACAAGTAGAGGACTATCACTGTCTGCCTGACTTATCCTCAACATGCAGAGTTTGCTCATTTGTGGTACAGCCATTCCAAGGAAATTGTATGGAATTTTGGTTGCTAACCCCCCAAGGATGCTGAAAAAAGTGCAAAGAAAACTAAATCACCAAAGGAATATATACTCCACTCTCAGGCTAAAAGTAGCTCTTTGGTGTTTTTTTTTTCACATTTAAAGTGGCCCTTACTTAAGGTTTATTTTAGTCTGCATGGAACAAATTTCAGGATACAGTGTAGGTCAACCACATCTTATAGTTTCCCCAGTGTGCAGCCCCCATCTAGCGATAGCACTACAATATGACCACTAAAAGCATTGACCTCTGAGAACTGCTTGTCTTCTTTATCCTCTTCCCTTTACTTTTTTCCATTATCTTCTAAGGACTCAATCACACTACAGTGCAATAGGTTATTGGCTTGCCCAGGAATTCAACAGTCATTTACAACCATTTCTATTAAAAAACACATGCTCTTTAGGGTGCGGTGAGAATGTGGTGTGATGTGGTTCTGCAGCCCACATGACATTTGTTAGTCCCTTTGTTCAGTGTACTCAGCAGCCGCCTAGCTTATGACAAAACAGAACAGAGCAATTCAAAGACTAATCACCTCTCAAGTCCAGAGGGAGTGCTCCTCACCAGAGTGGGGATCGTGTTCTATTTAGGAAGCCACTCATAATTCAAGTGTTTGATATTCCATGAGTACATCAGTCTTTTAAAAGCCATAAGGGGTGATTGTGCCGAACTTTTCATTTTGTGATTCTCCGTGTCATTTCATCAATAAAAGGGAAGATACATCAAGAACTGGAAGGAAACACCTAGAGACTTTAGTAACCAGCCAATCTTTCTATTTCTCACTGACGATTTCTTACAAAGCCAATTCCCCTCGTCACAAAGCATGTTTGATTTTCTTAACAGAAAGAAAAAAAACCTGTTCCAAAAACTTACATTGATACAGAATTCTTAACTGGAAATGAAAGGCAGAGCAAGCACCTACGAATTTAAAATAACAGCGGGTCAAGGTATGGCACATACAAGCAACTACTTGCAACGTTAATCGGGAGTCATTTTGTTCAGGAAGTTAAATTTTTCTCCTCACATCATTTTTAATAAATTGCAAAAGAATTTGTTTTAGATTTTACATTGTTATCAAAGTTTGTCACATAGACTTTAGGTTGTAAGGAGCATGATAACATTATCTTGAATGCTGGGTAGAATTCTTCATCTCATTTGGGTAAGAATCTATTGAAAAACAGAAAAACTACCGAATCCATTATCCCTGATGGTAATAAACAACTGGTTTTATCTACTTCTTACCTTGAGCAAAATATATTGTGGGTGACTTTCTGGGAGAACTGGGTAATTAAGGAAGAAAACAGAAAAAGCAAAACACATCGAATTGAATGAAAAGAGGACCACAAAAGGCAACAGTTTTACTTTCTAGATGCTTGTGTTTGCTTGGTCACTTTCAGACAATGTTGTTTCCTCAGTAACTACAGATGGGTCCAGCAACCTAAAGTATTCACGTAGGGTTGGAGATGACGAGAGTAGGTTATACATCCTGTCACTCAGCCTCATTGAGATCACTGATGGCAGCGACTTCACTCTGCTAGTGGACGATGACAGCAAATTCAATACTTTGGAAGCTTCACTCTGGAAGATTTTTGTTCTGACAGTGTAGAGGATAAAAATTTGCAATCCCTAGCAGACAGAATAAAAGTTTAATGTTAGATAAGTGGTAAGATACAGAATCAAGGAAGAGATTTTATTTCACTTTGCCACCAAACTTTATCATACACAACAAATACTCAATTTGAGTTTCCCAGTCTGCAGCTGCTGTGCACTTTTTTTTTTTTTTTTTTTCTGTCTAAGAGGATTGTGGCAAGTTCTCACTTATAGGAATATATGTTAGTAGTAGAGTTAGAAGACCTGAGCTCAGGTCAATGTTGGATATGTACCTAAGAGGATTTCCTCCTTCTGATACCAAACAATGCTAACACCAACTGAATGTCCTACAATTCAATTCTGACAGTAACTACCCAGAGTTAGTGTCAGATTCCACAGGCTAAGGGCTTAGTCTCACAAAACTGCCATCACTTCAGATGCCAGTCCCGGCTTACCCATACTTTTGTCCAATGTGGCTACCAAGTGGGCTGTTTCCATAATCTGCCTCTCACTTCAGGTTTGAAAATTAGCTAGAATGATTTTCAGGATTCAGGAAAGAGCTTTTCTTACTATTATCTGTTTATTTTAAAGGATATGACTCAGGAACAACCAAACAGAAGAGGTCGCAGGGCAAAGTATAGGGGGAGGAGCATGGAACTGTTAGAAAGACAGACATGAGTGGGGTGGAAAGAGAATAAAGTCCACTAGAAGGAACTCAAAGATTTAATCAATAAAATCAGAGAGCCAGAAAAGACTCACAGAGTTAATTACATAAAGTTTCAAAGGCCAAGAGTGACTTTAAATGTCCAGACATTCCCCAGATGAAAAACAACTCCCCAGATGAGAAATGTCAGCGCACAGGCACTCTCCAGATAAAGCAAAACATCAGAGCACAGGCACAGCAAACATCAGAGTGCAGCCCATGTCTTCATTTCACCAATTAGATCAGGCCTCCAAGGCCAGGGATGGTCAATCAAGGACTTCACTGCCCTGCCAAAAACCCCAGAAAAGAAGCCTCACAGTACACAGTCAGAGCCTGTTTGACCTTAGGCAAGCCCACTGTGTTACAGAGCATAATAAAAGTTGTTTTGCTTTCTTAACTTTAGTTTCATGTCTCTCTCTATCTGACTTCCCTGTGACTCTGAACTGAGTTCCTTCCCAACAGAACTTCCTCTCCAGGGTGTCACTCTCCCAGCACTTCCATGTGTTCGCCAACCTGGAAGTTTCCAAATGTCTTCATTTAGAGGGTTTTTATGGAGGTCTCGTTACACAGACATGGTTGATTAAACCACTGCCAGTGGCGATTGACTCAGTCTCCAGCCCTTCTCCCCTTCCTGGAGGTTGGGTAGTGGAGCTGAAAGTTACCAACTTCTAATTGGGCTTGATCTTTCTTGAAGCCAGCCTCTATCCTGAAGGTATCTAGGGGTCCTAGCCACCAGTCATCTCATTAAAATACAAAAGACACTTTTATCACTCTGGAGATTCTAAGAATTTTAGGAATTGTGCATCAGGAACTGAGGACAAAAACCAAATATTCATATTTTAGTATAGCACAGTAATTTTGGTCTTTTCCTAATGACTTTGATCTTCAATTTTCCAAAAGAGGCAAATTGATTGTGGGTTACCTAATTCTTTCCTATTTCTAACATCTTATGATTCCACATTTTAGTAATATAACTAGAAATTTGGTACATTTAAGGCCAAAAGAAAAATTTTAAGCACTTCTATTCATTGCTTTTCTGTATTTTACATATGAAGATCAGAGTTGCATGAGGAATTAACCCACATAAGATAGTACTATTTTCTGCACATTTTTAAATAAAAACTACCACTTCCTGAAGTCCTATTAGTATATCACTTGCTTTTTGTTTAATCCTCATCATTTAATCTTTCTCATTTAACCCTACCTTTAACGTTTTAAAATAAGCCTTACTATCCCCATGTTACAGGTGAGGAAATAATAGCTCAGATAAATTAAGTAACTTGCCTAAGATTACACAACCAGTAATCAGTTGAGTCTGGAGATGAACATATATGTTTGGTTTCAAAACTCCTCTGTCTAATATACCACATTGCCTCTTGCTTGTAACTGTAATAGAAAGATGTTGTAAAGTGTATTATAGCATCTAAGAGGTCCCTGTTTATTCCCCATAATCCTTTGTAAAGATACAGATTAAATAATATTTGTGGGTTGATTGCTAGTATTGCACCAATGTTCATTTCTTGATGTTGACAGTGTACTAGGGTTATATAAGATATTATCCTTGGGGGAAGCTGGGCAAAGAGTACATGGGAATTCTACTATTTTTTCAACTTCTTGTATTAAACTATTTCAAACTTTAAAAAGTTATTTTTTTAAAAATCCATGAATGTGTTCAAGAGTGACATCTATAGGACCTGGAGCCTTATAAGAATTTATTTATAGACTCATATGCTATAAATACTGTTATAGGAGACTTCTGGGCCTGTAGTAAGATAACTCAAAGACAATCTCTGTCAACTCATATTTCTATATCCAGTGAAAACATCCTTTAAGAATGAAAGCAAAATAAGAAAACTAAGAATTTGTCACCACAAATTCTAAATAAAACTTTAAGGCTGAAGGGCAACAAAATCACATGGAAATTCAGATCTTCAGAGAGGAATGAAGAATACTGGAAATTGAAAACATATGGGTGAATAAAAACATTTTTTCCTGTTACTTTCCTTAAAATATGTATGTCTATTTAAAGCAAAAACTTTAACACTGCACTGTGGGATTTATATGTATACAAAAATAGTACATAAAACAACTCTAACGTAAAGGAAGGGAGGATGATAAGTGAACTTACAATATTATAAGATTCTTAGATTTTACTAGAAGTGGTAAAATATTACCTCTAAGCTGACTATGAAAAGTTAAAGATGTGTAATACATAACAACAAAATGTCAAGAGATAATGCTTAATAACTGACATATAATTAAAATGGAATCTTAGCAAATAAATTTACTCAAAAGTAGGCAGGAAAGGAGGAACAGAGAATAAAAAAGTAGAGTGGCAACAGAAAACAAATAGTAAAATGGTAGACATATATTCATTCATATTAACAGCTATTATTACTTCTAAGTGGACAAAACACTGAAAACATAGAGATAGTCAGAATGGATTAAAAAATAAGACCCACCCATTTGCTGCCTACAGGATACACATTTTAACTATAAATACACAAAAAGGTTGAAAAGAATGGATGAACAAATATGTACCATGCAACCAATATGTATAAGAAGGCTGGATATCAGATAAAGTAGATTTCATGACAAAGAGCATTATCAGAGTTAGAAAGGGACATTTCCAAATGATAAAGGGTCAATTCATCCAGAAGAAATAACAGTCGAAAATGTACATGCACCTACTAGCAGAATCTCAAAACATGTGAAGCAAAAATGACAGAATTAAGAAAAGAATAAACAAATTCACAATCATAATTGAGATTTTAACATTCTTCTTTCAGCAACTGAGACACCCAGACCAAAAGAAAATTGGTAAGGACAGAAAATCTGTACAACACTACAGTTATTTCAGTCCTATTGACATTTTATAACACTATACCCTACAAATACAGAATACACATTCTTTTCAAGTATAAATATTTCAAAGATAGAGCAATACTGGGCCATAAAATCAGTCTCTATATTTTACAATAATTAAAAGAAAAAATTCACACACAACTTACCAAGACCAATAATGAGCAAGGAGATTAAATTAGTAATCAAAAATTTCACAAGAAATAAAACCCCACAACCAGATGGCTTCACAAGTGAATTCAACCAAACATTTAAGGAGGAATTAATATTAATCTTTCCCCACTCTTCAAAAAAAATTGAGGAGGAGAGATACTTCCAAACTCATTTTACAAGACAAGCATTACCCTAATACTAAAGCCAGAGAAGGATACTACAAGAAAAGAGAATTATAGGCCAATACTTCTGAAGAACATACATACAAAAATCCTCAACAAAATAGTAGCAAAGTGAATTCAACAATATGTTGGAAGGATCATTCACCAATATCAAGTGTCATTCACCCCTGGAATGCAAGAATAGTTCAACATAGGCCAAGCAATAAATGTGATACACTACGTTAACAGAATGAAGGATAAAAATCACGATCATTTCAAAAGATGCAAAAAAAGTATTTGACAAAATGCAACATCCTTTATGAGAAAAACTCTCAACAAATTAGGTATAGAAGGAATATTCTTCAACACAATAAAAGCCATATATGACAAGCCCACAGTTAACATCATACTCAATGGTGAAAAGTTTAAAAGCATTTCCTTTAAGACAGGGATGCCCATTCTTGCCACTTCTATTCAACATAGTACTAGAAGTCCTTGCCAGAGCAATTAATCAAGAAAAATAAATAAAAATTATCCAAAATGGAAAGGAAGAAGTAAAATTATCTCTTTGCAGATGACACAATCTTCAATTAGAAAACCAAAAGATTCCCGAGAAAAAAAAATGACCAAAATAAATGAATTCAGTAAAGTTTCAGGATAAAAAATATACAGACATCAGTTGCATTTCTACACACTAATAATAAGCTATCTGAAAGAGAAATTAAGAAATCAACCCTGCTTAGCATCAAAAACAATGAAATACTTAGAAATAAATTTAACCAAGGAGGTGAAAGATCTGTACACTGAAAATTGTAAGACACTGATGAAAGAGATTGAAAAGACACAAATAAATGAAAAGACATTCAGTACTCTTGGATAGGAAAAATTAATATTGTGAAAATGTCCGTATTATACAAAAGCAGTTTAGAGATTCAATACAATGGCATTTTTCACAGAAATAGAAAAAATTATCCTAAAATTTGCATGGAACTATGAAAAACTCCAAATAGCCAAAGCAACCCTGGAAAGAAGAACAAAGCTGAAAACATCATACTTCCTGATTTCAAGATATATTACAAGGCTATAGTAGTCGAAACAGTATAATACATGCATAAAAACAGGTATAGACCAGTGTAACAGAATAGAAAGCCCAGTCA